CAAAATTTACACCCTTAATGATTATTTTTTCATTTCTTCATCCAACTCTACCTCATTGCTTTATTTTGCATGAACTGTTGTTCTGATTTTAAAATTAGGTATCTAGTTATGGGGGGTTTAAGTGGGTGTATGAATTGGGGAGGAATAGGGCAGATTGATTGGAAAGAGAAGTATGGACAAAATTTGATAATTCGGTAAAAGGGGGAGCACCTGTTGTCCCCTTACAAAAGCCCTGTTAACTAAGAAATTAGGTCACGGCCGATTGACCTATTTGTTCGCGCATCCTTATGGTGCCAATTACAGCGATATACTTATCTGACAATTATTTGGTAACCTTTCTTGGGTTATGGCGCATTGTATGTGCTGAAAAAAATTGAGACAAAAAAAATTAAATTGAAAAATTTAAATTAATTTAAGATCATCAAAATTTGTTAAAAATTGCAAGAAAGAAAAAAGGAGCCAAAATGAAAGTTATCATTTGTAGTAAAGGCATGATCTAATTTTTGTAATTTACGATTTCGACCTTTTTCCTTATGAAAGGTTTCTGACCTGGCGTAACTAAAAATGATGCCATGTATTTCGATGGTACATTTTTGGTCGATTGTATACATTTTAAACTTATAGTTTTCATTGAAATCAAAATGATGTCATGAATGATTGGAAGGATATTAAATTACAACACACGACATCATATCATATTCTTATCTTTTTAATCATTTAAATATAAAGATAATTAAATTAATGCGATAGAGTATTAAAATGATAGTATGAAAAATGATCATTCATTCAGGATAAGAAATATCATTTTTGGATAACATTTATAACTGGTATACAAAGTTTTATCATAGCAATGAATGATTTGCATCATTAATTAATAATTGAACTATTTTAGCTTATCTTTTTCATAATTTTTTATTTCTTTCTTTCCTAAATAAAAATATACTTTTTGAATTTTAAAAAATTTTGGAAATAAAAATAAATACTTTAAAAAAAAGTGAAAAAAATAAACTATTAGTTTAGTTTAATATTAAAAACAATTGAATTATTAGTGATTTAAAAAAAAAAACAATTGTATCAGCAACAATACGACGATAACATATCGGAAAGTGAAAACAGATCGCAGTACAATCTCTCAATGGATATCCCCTCCTCTTTCTTCATACTCCGCTCCTATTCACTGCCCCATTTCCCGTCTATCCGCTTCTACTAGATTTCATTGTCGACTTGTTGCGTTGTTTTCTGATTGTATCCGCGAATTCGTTGGTATAAAAAGCTCAACTAGACTGAGAATTATCGGGATGTGATGAAAAGGTCAGTCATTGCGATAAAAAAAGACATGCAATAAAAGCAAAAGTAAGAGTTTTTGGAAAATTTATTCTCAAAAATTTAAAAGAACAATATCATTTCATTTTTCATCAAAGATCGGTCACTTTTCAAGTGTTACAGAACTTTTCTTGAAATATATTTTCTTCTTCATTTTTCCTTCATTCTCTTCTTCAAATCAAACTCTCAGCTATTGCTGGTTGAATGACACCATTTTATACTGTGATCTTTTTCCAATGCCGCTCCATCACTCTCTACAACTTATACTACCCAAACAATACTGCATCATCTAAGAAAGTCTGAAAAACGATTTCAAAAATGGTTCAAAATAGTGGGCATACCCATGGTAGTAGCAATAGCAGCAGCAGCAGTAACAGTATTAGTTGTAGTGGTAGTAGTAGCACTAATGGGTGTATGAACGAAGTACAGTACAGAAGATAAGGTGAATGTCCTGTGTTTCGGGGACATTAAGAACTTTTCTTTGTTTGCGGAATTGGGTAAGCATTTGCAAAAGTGAAGGTTTAAAAAGGATGAAAGGATTTTTACAACAACAACAACAATAACAACAAAATTTTCTTCAACAATAAATTTGAACTTCTAAGGCACTTCTAAGGCGTCAATAAAAAGAATAATCAATTATTATAAAATATTATTCACATTAATATAATTATGAATATATTAAAATTTAAGCTTTATTTTTTTAATTTAATAAATCGAATTGATAAATTTTATTTCGTATCTAAAATGGAATAAATTTACTTCCAAAAAAAAATGATAAAATAATAAAATTGCTTTTCTGACTACGTTAAAATAAGAATAGCTTATTTTATTATAAAAATGATTAGAAAGACTATATATATAGATAGATAGATAGATGTATATATATTTATCATATCATGAAAGAAATATGATATTGTCGGTAAACTTAATTTGATCGATTTTGATAAGTGTGATTTGGATTTGGAATGCAGCCAACTTTTTGCATTTCATTTATTGCGAAGAACTTGAACTGATTTTAACGGCGATTAGTAATAGGTCAACAAATTTTGAATCCAACGAAATGTTTCTGAATGGATTGAAGAGAAGAATGGGGACGAGAGGGTGAACGATGCGCGCTACCTTCTAGCATTTTGATTTGATTCTTTTCTTCCAATCAAGAATGGATTCTGTTTTTGAATATATTTTCATTTTATTATCATTTTTTGATTTTCATCTTAAATAATAATTTAAAATGATATGCTTTTTATGGAATGAATAAATTTGAAACGAATTTTTCCTTTTTTTCATTCAAATCTTTTTTAAATTCTGAAAAAGAATTTCACGATAATGATTTATGACATTTCAAAAAATGATGTTTTTTGTTTTTTGTTAATTAAAGAACAACAAATTGGAAATTATTTTCTAATATTTGTGTGACGAAAGAAAAAGAAGGAAATGTAATAAATAAAGGCAAGAGAAAAAGTTCCGTAGGATAAGTGAAATTATTAATGAAATAATTGTATTCTTAGATCTATGGCTTCTATATCAATTCTTGACAGTTTCGAACTTATTGCTCCTGTTTTACGGTTTTGATCAGGATTTTGCAATTCCATTATTCGGAAAGTTTCATACAATCTTTATCAGATTCTTATACATCAAAGCTCTAAAAACCAATTGATAAAAAAGAATATATTGCGTTCAAATGTTATCAATACTATCAATCATTTATATATGAATGGATGGTTGATAATCTATCACTTATCAAAATGATAACATATTCATTGGTCAGAATGTCCTTTCAAAGATCTTTCTTATCATTTAATATGTAATTAATCATAGATTATTGATTAATTATATATTAAATAGCTCAATTTCTCTATTTTCATTATTTGCTATTTGTAACATTGGAATTACTTATTACTTTTTAGGATTGCATTTGTTAGTGTAAGATAAGAATGATCATCTGTTGATAAGATTTATTAGCGCTATCAATAAATAATATGATGTGTATTTATAGCGGAATTATTAGTATCAGTGATGATAAATTATCCGTCCGTTCATTAATTTAAATGAATTTAATTCTTTTAAGAATTAATTTTTTTTTTGAATAAACTTATTTTAACATAAATTCAATTCAAAATTTATAGTGAAAGAAAAAAGTTATTTGCTGAAAAGAATTAGCCGAAAAATGGTAGTGAAAATTTAATAGTGCTCAAAAATTGTTCTCTTTCTTTCCTCCTTGTTAAGAAGACACAAATCACATTGTTTAAAATTCTTGTCGAATTAGGTCAAATTGTGTTTTCATTTGACCCCAATAATCATGATTATCATGAAAGAGGAGGCGGGAAGAAGAGGTAGAAGAGAGTAGAAAAGGATGAATAGTAAGGCGGGGGAGAGTATGAAATATATCGGACGACTAGTAAAGGCGGGAGAAGCGGGGATAGGAAACAAAGTTCCATTTCGTACATTATATCCAAAAATTTTTTGCGCATCAGTCGTTTTAATTTGTTGTGCGTGAATTTCGATTTCTCTTCCTTTTTTGTTAAATTAATCATTTAAGATAAGGAGAAGTATAAATGAATGAATGTAAGACATTGACAGTGATAGTGAGACAAAGTGGGTAAAAAGAGAGTGAATTTATTTACAGAAAGAGGAAAAGGAAAGGTTCAATGGAATGATAATGAAATGACAACAGTACAATGATCATTTTACTCCTCTTATCATTTCATTTTTTAACAATAATTATCATTATGCAATGATGATAGCGAAAATTGATAATAGTTGATAAAGCAGAATGAAATTAAAAAGAGAAAAACAATAACTGTAATAGCATAAAAAATTATATTAATAGCAATAGTTATAACAAGAAAAAGAATTCGATGACAACAATAACAACAGAAGGAACAATAACAACAACAACAAGGACAATAACAATATTAGCAATAATAATCAATAACATTAATAAGAACAAAATAACAAATTGTAAAAACAATAATACATCAATCAATGATCGTTTAAAAGATCATGTTTTACTATTTCCATGTATAAAGTTGATAATGAGAAACGATTGTGGTAGTTTATTTTTATTAAACTGATAAGAGAGAAAGAGAGAGAGAGAAAGAGAAAGAAAGAGAGAGAGAAAGAACGATAAGCAAAGGATTGTAAAAATGTTTATTCGGAATATGTATGTCACATGAAATATACAAATCTTATTTGAAATCCTTGCATTATTATCATATTATTGAGAACGAAATGGGTAATAAATTTTAATTAGAAAGAGATAAGATGAATTAATTGAACAAATTAAGAAAAAAGTTAAAAATAATATAAAATAATTGAAAATAAAATAAGGTTGTCAACAATTGAGATTTTAGACTTAAGATGAAATGATTCTTAAAACAATGAAATTTTTGTTAGATTGATGTATTTTGGATAGATGCCAACGAAGTGTATTGAAATTTTAAAAGAATAAACAACTAAAATATGAGATATCCCTAGGAAAAAGTGGCAATTTTTGATTTCATTTCACTCATCCAACTTTTTTCCCATTCTTATTAATTATGAAAAGATAATTAAAGAAAAAAAGAAAGGAAAAAAAGGGGTATTTCTTGTTTGTCTTTGTATATTTTTATAAAAATTTAACGGATGTTCATGACCTCTTATTGTTATTTTTGTGTTCAAATATTTCCATTGATTGTTCATTTTCCCTGGATCATACTATCTGCTACCAATACCGCCATCTTAAATACCCTGTGGCGTTCTCGACTTTCTGGATATTCATCAATCGTATTGGATGATAATCGGATGTTGATTTTCATCGGAGCAGGAATCAAACAGGGCAATATATGTTGAAAAATTTTTGCAGCAAAAGGGGAAGGTCCGGATCGTTGACCTTTTCCCTGAATAAAATCAACCACAAAACAACCAACCTCTCTCATTCCCCCGCCACTATTGACATCTCCTCCGTGGAATAAAGCATGGATATATAAGAGAGATAGAAGAGATAAAGGTGATAGAAGAGGGAAGGAAAGAAAAAAAGGGGATATTTGTTCTGCCCTCCGGGGTTTTCGTACCTGCTCCTGCCCGGTCATTTTAAGAAAGCACTTCCCACCCCTCCTCTGTCCCCTCAGATGTACACAATAAAATACACTCATCAATAGAACGCACATACATATACACACACATTCACGCACACATAATAGGGTCAGCCAGCGGTCAACTGGTAGTTAAATGCCAATGTCGACACGTATCAAAAGTTGTTGGAAGGAAATGAATGGATTTGATAAAAAAAGGAATTCATTTTATTCATTCTGGCAATGATGCTAATTTCTTCGGAGAATTTTGATGTTATTCCGGAAATTTATTGCTCGGAATTATTTCGAAATTGGTCATTTATCTTTTTATTCAAAACAAAGTTTAGACCTTATATTACACTTAAGATGTTTAGAGAGAATTTAGATATTGACGAATTGATGAGCTTATCAGTGATTCGGGTCAACAGTGAATCAATTTAATCAACAAAATATTCTAGAAGTTACACTCATTGATAAGCCTGAAAAAAGGAATTATTGATTGATTCCTTAATTCCAAATAACAATTTTGAACATTTAATTTTCTCGCCTAAATTTTTGTTAAGCTTATTATCCGCACTTCATCAATACTAACATATTGATATTGATACTATCATTCCAGAAATTTTTTCTAAGAAAAGTTTCTGCCTAAAATTTCGTTTTCTTTTTCCAATTAAATTTTCTTCGGAAATTTTTTTGCACAATCATTTCATTGATATCATTATTTCCAAATTTTGTACCTTTGCAAAAAAGATAGCAAATCTTGTTCCACATCCTTTTTGTCACAATTCAAATGTGAGAATTTTAATTTATCCTTCAGAAAACTTTCCAGTAACTTGAATTAAAATTTGTGGAAAAAATTTTTTTTAATTTCATCACTAATTTCAAAATTGCATTGCATTCTTTACGTGGTCAATTTGATGAAGAATTACTTTCATGTCCAATATGTTTTAAAGAATAGACGGAAATGGTTAATAACGAGGAATAAGCATTTTTTTTCGTGGATGTCGTAAGAGATATTTGCCACTACTGTTTTTGACAGTTTCAAAAATATCATATTGAAAATGGGAAGGTGGAGCTCTTCGGTACCTTTTTCCACTTATTTAAAAATACATATATACCGGCAATGACATACAATTCGTACCAGGAGATCTATTGACAGAGGAGAGGCAGTCAAAAATACAAAATTCACTTCATTTCTTTTCATTCATTCATTCATTCTTTCACCAGTGGAGATAGATCAAACATTTCTTTTAGGAGGAAATGTTATAAGGGATAGAAGAGAGCGGAAGGGCGGTACATTCCCCCGAGAAGAGGGAGGGTTCCATGAACGGTTTCAACGGTGGGCTCATATATCGGGAGGGTTTTGGTGCCGCTGTCGGTGCTGGGTGTAATGGTGGCGGTGGGTGCTGTTTCAAAACAGATACTTGAATTCGGATTTTTGATTTAGGAATAATGAGAGGATAGTAGTAATAATTTAAAGATTTGTAATGATAGGTGAAGTAAGCTAGCAATAAAAGTTTAGCTTTAAATGTATCTTAATCTGAATGCTATAATATAATAATTGTGATTCGAATAATTGTGAAAAGGAAATAATCGAAATGGGCAGTAGATTGAAATAATTTGGTAGAAAATATTTTATAAATTTAGGAAAGAGAAAGACACGGTTAAGGAAGAGGGAGAAAGGAAGAGATGAAGAATTAGTGAATAAAGAGAGGGATATCTTCAAGTTTCAAGAAAATAGAAATAAAGAAAGTAAATGGATTGGTAAAAAACAAAGACAGATTTCATAAAGCTGTCACCATCGTTTTTCTTTTCTTTTTTTTTTATTTTTTGCCTTGCTTCTTACTGATCGTTCAGCTATGTGGCAAATGAAATAAGGTGATCGTCCATCTAAACGACTTGATCATCACATTCCTATAGCACACAACATCTTAACTAATATTCTGCAACAACATCTTTGTCCACTACACTCCATTGTCTCCAATGAAACTAGTTTTGTCCACACCTTCAACAAAACATGATTATGCTGCTGTTAAGTATTTGTTGTATAAAAGCATTTTTCATCAAAAAGGCTTTTCCTTCTCTGCTTCCTTTTATATTTTTCATTAATATCATCTATTTTATTTTTAATTATAATTCAAATGGTCAGTTCTTCCATTATTACTACACATATCGTTTATAACCTATCCGATTTCTTTTTTCTTTTTTTAGACAATCAAAAAGGTATGTATCACTTAACTTTTATCATATATTTTCAATTTTTCCTATTCATCACATTTATTTTTATAATTTTTAAAACGTTTAATGTTTTTAGTAAATCTATGCTAAATTTTAATTTTAAGTAAATCCATCTTAAGTAATTTAAATTAGACTTGAAGGTAATGATCCAATTAATTATTAGACTTGGTGGATCTATGTGACAGACACTACACACACATATACATGCAAATCCATCTAAATGATTTATATACGAGGTAATGATCCAATTAACTGCGATATAAATATAACTTTGTTGAAACAAATTTAAATAATAATACAACAAGTAATCATCCATTTTTGTTTAAGTCGAATTTTCCATTGCCAATTTTTGCTGAAAGTTTTTTGTTCAACAATTGTTGAAAAAGGTTATATAATGGAAAATAAATTTATGGGTGAGTGTTTTCTTGTCATTTTTTGTTTATGTTTTTGTTTTGCTTCTTTTGACAGAAAAAAGTATCGTGAAAATTAAAGGTAACTATGATAAAATCTAAGATAAAATAAACAGAAAGGTAATAAGAGAGATATAAAAAAATAACGTTTAAATTTCGGATAATCAGAATATGTAAATCGAAGATTTAATCACTTCAAATTATCATCAATCTCTTACTTAACGAGAATTTATCAAACAAAATAAGTTATTATATTCTTACTTCTGCCAGCATATGACTAAATATGAATTAATTATCTTTATTAATCAGAATTTAATTATGACTGATTGGATTCACTAATGAAGTAGTTTGAATGTTTTTTGCATAACTACAAATGATTTTCGTAAATTATTACTATTTAATTGAGCTATCTGGATTTTTGTGGAAGCAAGGTCAACCATGGGTCAACAGTTGATCACTTCATGGCTACTACTTCAAACTGTAAACCATCGAAAAAAATTATCATTTTTAAAATGAAATTTCATCATTTTTTCCACACTATTGATTTCTTCTCTGCTATTTATTATTAAGCTAATAACAACAATACCGGTTGATGTTTTACCACATCATGATAATGACGATAATGATAATGATGATGATATTGATGTCGCAGAAGTTTTCGACGATTGTCGAAAGATACGTTTCTTTATTAACGATCTGGAAATCAATCAATAGATGCACCTTCAGACATTCACCATTTTAAGGCCGTTGCTCTGTTCCCTCATTTCAAGTTATTGCCTGGTTTAATCATTTCTTACATTTTCCACATTTTTACACTTCATCCTGAAAAAGTCTAAAATTAAAATTTCGAATTTATTATTTACATGCGTACTTCAATTGTATAATATCACTTCATGATAATATATTATTTTGGATTATTTTTCAATGATAAGGGATTAATTTTTTGAATCATTTATATATTTAATAACGTAACAATCATTTCAAGCTTTTTGACAGCTTGTTTTTCTTATGCTAAATTTGCAAATTTCACCTTGGAAGAAAAAAGGAAATCGATCACATGCTTGTATTTTCAACTAAATTGTAGCGAAATGATTGCATATCTATATTGTTCATTATGTTATTTTCGTATTTCGCACTAAAACCCTAAACAATCTATTCTATAATATTTTAGTTAATTTCAGATAAATTTAGCAATTAGAAAAGAATCCATCTTAATTGGTTTATCGCGCAAAAAGTGAAAAAACATCTGACACTTTGGGTTGAAATTTTTACGATTATTTTTGCAGAAAAAGAAATATTTTTTATTCAATAAAAAAAGGCTGCATTCGTTTTATTCATCAATTTTCGACATCCAGTCGAAAATTCTACTTTTGGAAAAAAACGTTATTATTTTGATCGAATCCAAGATATCCAAATCAATCCGCCAACATTCTTCCAGAACCGCAAGCTCCGCGAGTTGGACTCGCCCTATCCGATCTGCAAGCGCAAAATAACATCAGGTATTTAAATTAACTTTCATATCAATTTAATAGATATCGCTGATTATACCTTTAAAAAATCCATGAATTACTTTTATATTCGTTAAAATAAGATAATTATAATAAATGAAATAATCGAAGTACATCATTTGCGATTGAATCGTTGAAAATCATTCTTTTTGATTCTTCTATTCTACATCTTATCTCCCACTCTTTGAATTCATTTTCCAAGATAAACTCTAACGGTGAATGATTACCATAAATTATAGTTTTCAAACTTACCGGAGAATTTTTCTTCTTTTGAAAAACGGAAATGAAGTATTAAACCGTTTTTCCCCCTTCCTACACATTAAATTTCAACAATTCGTCTTTTTATTTTATGCGAAATAATTCATCGTTTTGAATTTAATTCGAATATAAGTAAGTATATACTTTCTTGCATTTTAGCATAATATATCATAAAGAGAGAATATTTGGAAAAAATTGATTTCAGTTTTCTGTGATCACTCGGACACATCTCCGATCTCTCCTACACTACAGTCCTTTCTTCATGGTACCCAAAATTCACATAGTTCGTTACTGTATCCGTTGCCTCGAAATTCAAATCACATGAAAATTTCAGAAAGCTCTGAAAGTGGTGCATATGTAAAGATATGTGTGCGTCTGTCTGTCTGTACATGTGCAGACATATCGTCAACGCCTATCCCTATGTCTGACCTAATTTTTCCCAACTCATTCAGGTATTGATCTTCCCACGCACATACACATACACACACGTAATAGGTCAAAATTGTGCGAATTAGGACCCGCCTAAATAGTAATCTCCTGTTTATCTTCAATATAATGTCACCGAGAAATCAGAAATTTTCTGAAATCTTTTGCATATACCGCCATTCTTCGTTACAAACACACACACACACACATACATACACACATACATACACACATACATACACACACATACACACATATACATACACACATACACAAACACACACATGCTCTACGCCACATGCATACACACATGCACACACACATACACACACACACACTCACATATACACATGCATAGATTCTTTCATGTGAATATTTACAAAATTGGTGGAATTTGTAAGATTTAGCAAAATGACTACAATAATAATGATTAATAATTTTGCTGTGATCTGTTGCACTATCTCGGAAGACTGGAATGATAATGAGAATGATAGTGGTGATAGTGATTAGTGATAAGACAATTCTCTATTTTCTCGAATTCTTTTGATATAGGATTACATCATTTATCAAAATTAAATTTAAGTCTAGAAAAAAGTTGAAAATGTGTTATGCATTAGAAAAGACACTGTTTCAAAATTATTTGATGAGAAAATTTTGGTTGCAGTGAAATAAGAGATACTAATCATACTGTATAGTAAACCACTGTATAGCTTGATTTATCATATAGTATAACCACTGTATGGTAATTTCAGTTTGTCTGAGTCCAAAGATTTGGGCCAGAATTGGATGATCTATTTGACAACTAGACTATACCGTAAATTAGGACATATTATTAATCAATCAAAGTGCAAAGAGCGAGAAGAAAATAAAACAATTTTAAAGAGAAAAAACGAGACTCGTCCTGGGCAAAAATTAATTTCAATTGTTTTCAAATTAAAAATTTCGAACAAAAAAAAATATTAATTCAGTTCATTTGATATTAAATAAACTAATAAAATTATTGTACAAATAAATAAATAAAATTTGAATAATTCCAATGAATAAATAAAGCCGCCGCTTATGAAGTAGCCGCTTCATTTATTTATTTATTTATTTTATCAAAATTAAATTTAAATCTAGAAAAAAGGTTGAACACTTTCTTTTTTAAAAAGATTCGATGAATTAAAGTATCAATCTGTATGGTATATATTACATTATAGGAGCAGTTAGTTCTTGAATGTGCTCTATAGATTGCATATATATCAGAGATATAATTTTCAATTAAAATTTTGTACATACATTTGCATATATCGTTAGGTTCACATAATGTTTATTCCAATATCATTTGAATCATTTTTATCAATTTAATATATTTTACATCCAATATTATATCAACCTTCTTTTGTATAATATGATAAACTTTCATTTGTTATCATTATCAATATCATCTCAGCATATCATTTTTTTTCACTTCTTTTCAATTAATTATCCTAGTAGCAAGAAACGATAGAATGATTACGATAACGGAATAATTATATGTAATAAGGATAGCGATCCATCCTATATTTGATTTGTTTAACTGTCACTGTCATTTATAACAATATATGTTTATGCGACATAGATGCTAGTATATTATAAAACATATATATAAGCTTCGATTTGTTAATTTTATTAACGAAAATGAAAATAACACATTTGTTATTTATAGTTAAATATGATTTGTGTGTATTTTATATAAAGTTTATTAAATTTTATTACGCTCATACTGTCAGTATTATTTCATTTTATCATTTACATATTTTAATTATTTATTATTACCACATATAATTTAACTGATACACTCAATTTTGTTTTAAACAACATATTACAGAAATAAAAAATATATATAGTTCATTTTAGAATAATCAGTACGAAAAGGTGACAAAAATGGTCGGTTAACTGTTCAGTTGATATATATATGTGTGTGTGTGTGTGTGTGTGTGACCTTTGAATAGTATGCACAGTTCATTTCGTTTCAATTTAAATTATAGTCGGAAAGAATTGAAAGGCGATTTAAAATGCTTAATTAAATAATGTTAATGCTCTTTTTTTTGGTTCAAATAATTTATTGCAGCGTAAGCAGTTACGGGATAGGCAGTGGTCCAGGTGGAAGTGGTAGTTGGTCAACCCGAGGTGTTGGTGGTATCAGTGGTGATTCCTATCAACAGAGCAACGGAATTTTTGGCTCTCATCGTCAACAGGTTTATTGTAAAGTTGGAAAATTTTAAACTTGAAAAAAATATTTTTGATTTTTACCTATATTAAATGAATTTAATGATTATAGGAAAGATACGACTCCTATCCATCAGGTGGTGGACTTTTCGGCGGTGCAAGTTGTAGCTGCTCATCAGGATACGGTGGGCTATTTGGGAAGAAATGATTTACAGGTTCTCTTTTAATTTTCTCATCTAATTAACGAAATCTATAAAATGTAACGATTTTGAGGAATGAAAATATCACATATGAAATCACATTTAGTTTCGAATATAATTTACCGTTTTTTAACTTTGCATATTATTATTATTATTACTTTATTAATTAAATTTTTATCCAACTTTTTTGAAAGAAAAAACATACAAAAAAGAGATAATTTAATGTTTGCAATTAATCAATTGAATTTTAGTATGATATTTGATTCCTAAAATTACACAAATCAAATCCAAGAATAATCAATTACAATCAAATTAAATTTGTTAGAATATTACGTATCATTCAAAAAGCCATAGAACACGTTTTGATGGCGTAATATTATGATGACCAGTTGAAATGAGAAAACCGGTTTTTACGTATTTCAATATTCTCATTGTTCAAGCTTTCCTGCAAAAACGTTGTTTTTGCAGGAAAGACATCCCGTTCATCTTATACACGCACAAGTACACACATAGGCAGTCATTTTAAAAACACACTATATAAATGTGAACAAATTTTTAAGCAATAAGAAAAAGTAATTGAATGTATAGGACGCTAATTTATGCAAAAAAGGCGCAAAGATAGTAAAAGAGAGTTAGGCCTAAATTTTCTATTTCTTTTAATTGCAAATAATATTTGTGACAAACTTGAAAAGAGAAAATTTTTTCAAGAAGATTTCAAAGATTGAGAAGTGAAGGCTTTTCAATTTATTTCCTTTAAGCATTTTAATTTAAATAAAGAAATATTTGACCAATGGATGGACATTAATAGGAAATATGAAAACAAAATTTTGTTACTTTCTATTTTGATGCTACTTTTTTTGGCCATTCATCTTTTTTAAAGATATTATTTATACAAATTGGATGATTCACTTTTTATGAATTTTAATATAAATTGATTATTATCATTATTATCATCATTATCATCATTATCATTATTACCATCATAGAGACAAAGAAAATTTTTACTCATTTTTAACAATTTCAAATCATTTTTCGATTCATTAATTTTGTTTTTCTGATCATTATCATTAATTTAGCCTAATATTTTAATTAGCAATTTTCATAAAATAAAAAAATTTTAATTGAAATTATTTTTTTCCTTTCATAATGACAAATATAAATTCAACCTTTTTTGTTTGTCAGAACACTATTTATGGTGGCGGCTTCAACAGTTGTATCTGCAAAAGATCGCTTACCCTCATGTGAACTTATTCCAAAGTTGCTATGCTCTACTGAACATATTTCGAATAAATGTCTTGTCGATTGCATCAATTATGTAGTTATTAAATGTCCATATAAAATGCAAAATTATGATGAAATTATCACAATGGCCATTGGTTCTTATCAAAAGATAGAATCAAAACAACAAGTTAGAATAAGTTTATTTTCTTTACTTAGTTTTCAAAAATTTTAAATTTATATCTTAAATTCAGTAAATTAAAATTTTCAAGAATAACGATTTTCCTTTCTGATAATCGATCTTATTCCAACTTTATTATTTTCTTAATTATAATTTTATGGTTATATGAATGTATTATTTTTAATGAATAGACACTTTTTTTTGTTCTGTAAATATTTTTAAATGAATTAATTGAGGAATGAATGTATGTCAATTAATTAAACAAAAGTTTTCAAACAATTGTTTTTGCTAATTTAGACCACATCCATTTCCATAATAATTTCAATCACATTATCTGAGCCTATTACTCGAAATGTTCGTCTACAATCATTCAAAAAATCAATGTTATTTATTCATCATCATCCATCACCAAATTTATCATTCAAAAAATTATTTGAACTTCTGAAATATTATCATATAATTTCTGGAGTACTACTACATCAAGGTATCACAACACTTTTTTTTTTCAATTAAAACATATTATGCTATGAAATATTAATGAAGATTCTGAATACAATTTTGTTTTCCAATGAAATTATTTTTATTTCTCTCTCTCTCTCTCTCTAATATTTTAGAAATTTAATCTTACTGCTAAATTAGCGAGAAATCAGTTTCTCTTTTCTTTTTAGCACCAACTTATCAAACTGCCGGTGACTATATTTATCTTAATCAACAACAACTGATCATCATCAGTGTATCAAATTCCAATTTTTCATCCGACATCGTATCGAGAATCGAGAATTCTCGACCATTTTATTCGCCGTGTTTACAGCCGAAACTTGTTGATAAACTATTCTTAACCCGTTGTCAACATCATGTAAGCATAGATTCTAAAATTCTGTAAGCTTGAAAAAATTTGTATATTTGTACATTTCGTACATATATTTATTTTTAAGCACTAATTTTAAATTAATACTTTTATATGATTATTGAATATTCAAGTTTTTTTATTCAATAATTCATATTTCAAATAATATTCAATAATTAAATTTTCATTCATAGGTACCAGCGAATTGTCACAATTTATGTACATACGAACATCGTGAACATATCGCAGTACCGAGCAAGATGTTTGCGATCTTAAATATCTCAGCATTATTTTGTATTGCGCAAATCGAAATCGCGATAATCGAAATTGTTGCCAGTTTCTTGGTATGCTATCAGAGAAATTAGAAGTTGTAAGCTAAGCTAGGGTGGAAAAATCACTTTCTTATTTTCTGTTAGTATTTTTAAAAAATTTCCAAGCCTTATATATATATATATATATACTTGAAAATTCGAAACGTTGTTATGCATTTAGAAGTATTCTTATAGCATTTTGACTGAAACCTTGATTATAAATCACTTCTTTCTCCACTGTTGTTAAGAATTATCCTAATTAAATTCCTAAATTCATTCAAGTTGCATCCCTGAAAATAGAGTAGATTATACAAATTTAATTTGAAATAGTTCAATAACAACAAAAAATGCTAGTTTGATTTGGATAATTCAATAGAATTGGAGAAGTGATCGTAAATGAAGTAGTTTCTGAATATTTTCTGAATAAATTAATTCAAAAACAATGAAACTAAATTATAGCGTTTACTCAATGATCATAACTCATTTATCGTATTTATGATAATTTCCAGTCATCATAATAATTTTCATCTTCATAGATGCCTCCGGATGTGCAACATAGCTCAATCAGGTGATCGGATCGGAAATGTTGAAAAAACAATTTGGTCTGTCTCAGCAACCGGAATATTCTCATATATTGCGCATACGTTGGCTTACGTACGATTAATTAAAAAAAATTAGGAATAAGAAAAAATATATTTCATATCTTTCGAAATTATTTTTTAAATCTATTTACTAATCATATTCGTAAGAAATAATTAAGTTTGCTGCAGAAAAAAATCCATCAATGACTATCATAGATTATCATACCTTTAAATAATTTAAATTTTTCAAAAAAGTTTTCACCTTATAGCACTAAATTTGAAGTACGTTAATTAATATACTACCATTAAATTAAATTAAATTATTTTTAAGATAAGAAGATCGCGATATTAAAATGATTGATATTTGCCATGGCCAGGCTTATTTTGTTTTCTGATAATTTGAGTAAATTTTGAATTTTTAATTAATTCAATGAAATTTCTACAGGAAACAAAATATTAACAATAAATAGTTGTTTATTTTTTCTTTTTTTTTAAAATTAAATGTTATTATTATTTATTAATTATTCATTATTGTTTTTACGAAAGAAATTCTTTGTATTCAAAAAAATTTATTTTTCCGATTGTCTTTTCAAAAGTAACTTTTTGGAATTTTACTTTAAATATAAAAGTAACTTAAATTCTTTTAATTAACTCACAAATGAATAAATTAAAAATAATTAGACAAAAACAAAAGGAATTGATTACTTAAAAATGACAACAGAAAAATGAATGAAATTTGAAATTTTCGAATTTATTTGTTTACAGTGTATCTACCAGATATAAAAATTCTCCCAATTTCTTCTTCTGCGATCCTTACAGTAAGTTTTACTATTGCTTTTATATGTTAATGTTAAAAATGCCTGCCGTGGCCCTAAACTACGTTTCTTCCTTTTTTCAATTTCAGTGATCTTTGTTTAGCTATCGTTGAAATATTGTTAGATTTAAAAAGAATTTCTACATTTTTTCCTTAATTTGTTTTTTCTCCCTCCCTCTCTCTCTCTCCTTCTCTATCTCTCTTCCAAATTTATGCAGTGCTATCTATCCATTAGCAAAAAATTGAAAAAATATGGAGGAAAATAGAATTGAAATTCGATCAATACTCATTTCCATTGAAATGTTGAAGATCGCAAAAAATAGAATATATATAAATTACCCATAGCTATTCCCCGGAGATAAAATCATTTTATCTCCGGGAATTCCTGGATTTTCATTAAAAGTTAATTCTATTTTAAATTCTTCCATTTTTCTTCTTGCTACTTATTTTACCAAAAAGTATGTTGAATCCATGGCTGGGGTTAAGTTTCGTAAAAAAAAGAGATCTGATCTTCGATTCGGTAATATTAATAATATTTACTGATCGATCTTTTTTCCGATATTTGGGAAAATCCCATCACCTCATGCAACAGAAACTCAAAATAAGAAAAATTATTAATATCTCACTATTAGCTCAATCGTTTACATACGCATTTATGTTTGCTTTTTCAAACAATAATTTCCGCCCATTACATTTTGCAACACTTTTGAGCTGTTACCCACCGCTGTCACTATCATTCGTTCCGCAAATATGTACTGTTTGAATCGATCAGTACTAGAATTTTAATCAAAAATTTCAATAACTCATTCCGGTATACTCGGAAATTTGGGACTAATAATTTTACTTTATTGGACTTCTTTTTCTTTCCAAAAAAGAAAGTTCAATTTTATCGCTTTTCTCAATTTCATAGAAAAATTCAAAAAAAAAGAAGAAAACAGGATTTTCTCAAATTTCGGTGTATCACTCATTCACTCATTCACTCATTCATTCATTCATTCATTAATTCAATCATTCAATCATTCATTCATTCATTCATTCATTCATTATAAATTTCTTAATGAAACCATTTCTATTGTATATAATAATTGGTACCACAACGGTCAAAACTTTATCAAAACTGTTCTTTCTAATAAAAAAATTTTTTTTGATCAATTTCGTTTTGTTTTGATATTATTCAAAGAAAATTTGTTAGAGCGAAAGATTAATTTCAGTAAAAAGAAAAAGAGAAAGAAAACTTTCGAATGATACGAATATTAAAGAGAAATGCGTTGAAATTTGATAATTAAAGAATGGATTAAAGGTCAAATGATCGTCGAATTAAAAGTTGAAAGTTTGAAAATGAAAAGAAAGGAAAAAAAGGTGCGAAATGAAAAATAAGAAATTAAAATAAAAATGAAATTGAAGTAACAATTCAAATTCTTAGAACTGAAATTTCAAAATTCAAAAAATGAATGAAAATGTTCTTCTCATCATAAATTGATTCTCACACGAAATATTTCTTTATTATAAATTTCAAAATAGTAATCTCTAAATGACATTCATTATTATAGGTATAATCTTTTTCATATAATATTACTTGAATTGAATATCAACATAAAATGTATTCTTTCAAAGTAAGCAATTTAAAATTCTATTCCATCCACTATTTATAACTCTTAGAAAGGATAGCAAAAAATAGAATTGAAAATGTTAGAATTTCAATGAAAATTTAAAATTCAAATTCAATTTAAAATTGCGATTTTGTCTAAAATAGATAAAATTTTTAAATTAAAAAGCAATAATTGTTTTCATCTTTAAATAAACCTTTAAATGCAATTGTTTTCCATAATGAATTCATTTACCTGCAATTAATTGGAGGGAAAGGTGAAAAGAGGAAAGTAATACTTTTGGCCATTAATTCGAGTTATAAACAAATATTTCATGCATTTTACAAGCACACCCAACAATAATATAAATAAGAATGACTCATAAAGTGAGTTATGGAGTGCACAGAGTACAACGGTCAATAAAACAGTCAACAGAGCAACTGGCTGATGATTTCTCAGGAGGACTATTCAACTGGTTCAGGAAATTTAATAACCGGATTTAATTAGCTTACGAATGCGGTACGAGTTATTTCCCATACATATATGTATTCTTACGCTATTATTCATTGATAAAATTTTAGTACTTTGAACTATGATCTTTTCCAAAAACGAAAGGTTATCTAAATACAGTTAAGTTTATTTTAGTAAATTCTAGAAAAAAAAACAAATAAATGCCTTTTTTTAGGAATTAAAATTTCGGTTAAACAAGAAAAAATTTATCGATTTTAAGGAGGTCTTACGACGAAGGCTAGCAGTTGGTGAAAATAAACTGCATTTTTTTCATATAATTAGAAAATCAACTGTTGTCATCGAATGCGAAGAAGCAAAAAGATGGGGCTACTCTTTACCTTTCTTATTTTTTCATTGGTCATTTATGAGGAAGCCTATGTGACCATTTATTATCTATTCAAGAATTATTATAATACTACGATCATCCGTAATATTACTGTTAGAAGACCTGAAGGTAGATGATTTTCCGATTTTTTAATGTCAGTATCTTTTTGATGAATTCAGATAAGTGTAAATAAAAAACTTTCTACACTTGATTTTTCGAGAAACTTTGAATGTTGAATTTCATACTTCTACGATGACAATGATGTGATAAAGAGGAGAGGTAGAGTGAAGTGGAAAAGAATTTCTGGCCTTAGGAAAAATGATATTTACTTCCAAATTTTCTTTTCCTTTAAACGATGATTGTTCCGGAATCGGGAAGTAAAGTGAAACTTCAAATTTGATATTTTTTCGCGATCGTGTATTCATGCATGCAAAAAGGTGCATGCATCTTTTTTTTTTTTGAGAATGCAAACTTTAAAATTTAATCGTTCCATAGTTTCTTCTGAAAAGATGATTTGAAAACAATAAGCTGATGAAATGATCAAAAAAATTTTAGATCAAAAATCAATTTCGATAGCAATAATTACCGTTCTGTTGAATCGCAGTAATTACGAGGAATATCGTTTAGCTCAGGAAAGTTTCGAATGTTATGCATTATATCATAATTACAAATGGATTATTATTGATTTGTCGGCGAATGTTACATTACAAAGATTATGTCCACACAGAGATGTAATTGTTTTTTCATCAAAATAATTAGTTGCTAGTAACAACATATGATAATACCGAAAGTGATATTAAACAACGTTTCAATTATATATCACTATTATAATTGGTAACAATGAATATTAATGATTGCATAATATGTAGTGTGGTAAGATAGGAGAATGAATGATAATGATGATAAGAAAGAAGGAAAAGATTAAAAGATTTGAAAAAAATGGTGGATAGATGTTAAAAATTTAATCTAAAATTAAATACGTATGAGCAAAAGTGTTGATAAACGAGTGAGTGAGCATTAGTTAAGTGACCAATAGTTGATTATTTTTTCCACTTCAATGATATAGTGAATTCTTTACTTGACCGATTAGGTCAACGATAACCGATTACACTTAACATCTTGCTGAGAATGATAAACAAATCAAATATACAAAATAGCGAAAATATTGGAATGAGCTAAAATGATGGGTAGTTGAGTGATCACCTCCTGTTAAGAGTAAAGGATAGATAATTTATTCACGTAAATACGGGGATGGAAGAAAAGTTCAAAGGGATGAAAAAGAGGGCAAAGTCTTCCGATCTCTTTTGTATCGATCCTTTTATCGCTCTTTCTACAAGCTGATTAATATTTCATTACTCTCCCCCTCCCCGCCCTATTCAATGTAGTGATAATGATAAGAATGTTGTACTGATAGTAAAATAACAAAAATTTCAGTTTATGTTTGCTCGACATTGTGTCACAGCAGAAGTAATGAAAGATACAAATGACATTCAATGGTTTTTATTTATTGACGCTGATATGGGTGTTATTAATCCGAATCATTTGATTGAAGAATGGATTGATAACAACGTAAATCTCATCTTATACGATCGAATTTTCAATCATGAAGTAATGGCTGGAAGTTATTTAGCGAAGTCAGCTATAATCACCTTTTATCACTTATCATACTAATTTTTTTTTTTGGAATTTAAAAACTTTGAAAAATATTTGTAAAACTGTCAAGAACTTCTTTATTTACAAACTTAAGATACTAAATGTTAGTTATTATGCGCTTAGAATATTTTTGCGATCTTATTTGATTCGTAACTGAGAAAATTGCATTTCATTATGAATCATTAAATTATCACTTAATATGCTTTAATTTGGGTGGCTATTGCAAAATCTTATAATTTGCTTATCAAACAAATTTAACCATTGAATTTATTGATTTATAGAAATACTCCGTATTCTCGGAAATTTCTTCAATTTTGGGCAAACTATGAACTAAAATTTTCATTCCCAGGTTTTGGTTCAGATAATGGTGCAATTCATGTAAGTTAATTATTCAATATTATCAATAATTAATTAGCATATTTAAACTAATTAGAATAGCTATTACAATTTGAAATTTCATTTTGAATAATTTTATTTTAAAATTGAAACAATTGCTAATAAACTTTTTTCGTTTTTTTTCATACCTAAAATGAAATAATATTTTACAAAAAAAAAATTATCGATTTATATATTTATATTATAGCGCTTTACTGTTTAATGATTCATTTATCTCAATCAATATTTTCTTTTATCTGATTAACAGTTGAATAATATCATTCATATCACACTAATTAATGATATCATTCAATTGTTAAGTGTTAACAGTGTGATATCATCAGGTAAAGACTAATTAACTGATAAGATAAATCAATGCAATATTCTTATTATTTTTTCATTTTTGCTTTTTTTCCTGATTCATAAAATTAAGTTTTACAGAATGTTTTGCTGGAAGTTATATTTCCGGAAAGAATAAAAGAAAGAAAACTTTGTGAAAATATTTGGATGCAAGTGAAGTTCGTTAATTTCATTATGTTCTTAAAATAAAATTTTATATATAAAAACTTTAAGGTTGGTTGTTTTTGAGAATATTACGTTAGAATATTTTCGATATAATTTACTTTTAATAAACATAACGTTAATTGTGATATTGAAGTGAACAAACATTCAAATTTTATTTATTCATATGTTAAAGTTAAATTTTATTTACTATATGTTAATTTCCTAAAATGATACTTTCATATATTCCCTTACTATTTCGCTTCTTGCATTTATATTTTTACATTCATTTATTAATTTTAATTAATTACAAGTTTCATTTCCTTTATAATATTCGCAAATGCCATCCATTATTAATTAAATTCATTATTTAAGATTTTATATTGAATCACTACAAATTATTGTAGTAATTTCGATGATTTAAATGTTTACGTTGCTTGCGTTCGAAACATTACCAATGAAGCAACAATTTGGCCTAACCAATTGCGCATCATTCCAAAAGGTAAAGCATGGGCTCGTGATACTTGGCTTACAGATTCGATGTGGAGTGAACGTGATTTCATTCTTCATGGTTGGCAAAAACGGTTAGTTATATAAAATTGTTAGGATTCTCTTTAAAAAGATATATTATTCTCTTATTTCGATGTTTAAATTTTCTGAAAAAGTATTTAAGTTTACCTGAATAATAGTTTATTTAAGATGTAACTTATCCAATTTCTGGAATTACCTCTAATATAATAAATGAGTGTCTTGTTTTCATCCAATCAAATGAAGCAATGTCATTTTAGAAGGAATAATCGGATTATATTTGGTGGTTGGCCTTCACCATTTGTATCGCATAATTTCAATCTTTCACTTTGTACTAATTTTGATACAGTTTCCCTAAATTGGAAATACAAGGATACATTTATAAAAAGTAACATTGAAGTAGAAGGTTGGCTTAATAAGACAATTATTAATTCGATGTATGATTTCGAGAAACATTTAAAATTGGTATCAGTCAACAAAAACAATAATTTTTGAAAAAACTCACAGATTTGTTATTTCATTTGAAATGAATTTAATCATTATCATATCTTGTACATTTTTTTATGATAAACTTTCTTATGTGACAAAGCTTATCACTAGTTTGTTTTCTTTTCCATCGAACAGAAATTTTAGCTTATCATTAAATGATCGTTGGAAATTATCATTCTTCTGAAGCTGTTATCTTCTATTATCATTTTATAATTTATGTTTTAATTGTTTTAGGAATAGTGATATTTTAAGTGAATTGTTGTTTTGAAATTAATATTTAGAGAGAGAGAGAGAGAGAGAGAGAGAGAGAATTCATAGAACCATTTCTTTTATATCTTTATAAAGTGCTTTTCCTCTTTGATCAAACAATTTTACATTTGATTTTATTTTTCTCTTAATCTTTCATTGAAGATTTTTTGAATGAAATTGCCAATTATTAATTTCACACTTTATTTAATTGTCATTCAACTCATACATATATTGTCTTTCCTCTTTATATCCTATCGAATTTTCATTTCATTTTTTAATAGAAATTTAATTAAGAAAGTATTTTCCCTTAATTAAATTCATATTATTGAAAAATGAAACTGTATGGATCGATTTAGGAATGATTCACAATTTCTCATTATGCTATCATCCATTTAGGATTCTAAAATTATTTTAAATTATTTTGAATTTGTTGTATAAAACTATAAATTTCCTTTTCATGCTTGTGATATTATTTGTTTGTATTTGTATTTCGATAGCTTTTCTCTATTTTACTCTTTGATTTTGATATATTTTGTGCTTTGAAATTTAATATTATTTCATAACAATGATATTTGTTTATTTGATTTTATTCCCAAATTATATCATTTGAATAAAAATCAATACAAAACTATGGAAAAATATTTATTTGATTAAGAAGATTTTGCAGCAGACAAAGGCCTAGGAAAGTACTTTTTAAAAATATGAGTGGTAAAGAAATATATGCCTTTTAAAGTATCTTTTAAAAATATTGGTGGAAATCAATGAAGTATCTTATTTGATTATGCCGCATTTGGAATACTTAGAAAAAAGTAATGATGGCAATAAGGTAAAGGGATGATGACAATAACGGATTGGAAATGAAAAGGAAATGGAAAATCTTACGGTTATTCTTCCAAATACTTTACAGCTGGTTATCCAAAAAAAAACCTCAAAATAATATTTCGAAACCATTCATTACATATATTTGTCATGGTTATCATTTGTCACAGCATATCTACTCGTTGAAACTAATACATCAATAATTAATTGAATACTTAAAATTGAAACGCAATTATTAATACTTGAAGTGATATAGGCTTATCGGAATAGTTCATGCTCTATCAAATTGTTTATATATTGGAGGCAGAGCAATTTAATAAACAATATGCCTTGCAATCGTTAGTATCGTTAGTATTATATTCCATTTATTATCATTTTTCAGTAATTCATATCTGAATTTCTTTATTTCTGTCTCTCACTACACAGCTGTCATCAAAGGTCAAGATTTGTAACTTATTTACTAGAAATAAATTTACTGATTAATTTGCAACTTTCATCTTTTATCTTTTCTCAATAATTGTAGATGAATTAATTATTAATAACTAATTATATTATTCGAACAATTCATTACAGCTCTAGTGCAAAGTCTATTAAAGACTTTCTCGAACAACATTAATTTCATTATAATTAGTGAAATAAATGAATTGCTTGGAAATTATAAGGCTTTTAAAATTCGACAATTTGAAAAATAATAGATGATCATTGATCATTTGGATAGTGAAAGATTTGTGCAATTTTGCAGGCTTTAGTAAAAATGTCAGATGAAGAAAGAAATTTGAAAAAAGTTCGCTACCTGGAATACTGTCAGACCATTTGCATGCTATTAACTTTACTAGCATTTGCCGATATTTACTCACGTATTGATGATGCAGAGAAAAAGTGCCGGTTGATGAAAGATCAAATAAATTTGAAACGTATCCGACGTGACAAAGTACCATCGCCTTCTATTCAAATTTTGTTAAATGCATTAAAATATGATATTTTAATATATTCTTTATCAATAATTAAGGTTTCAGTAATATACTCTTTTCAAAAGAAATACCAAACAATTCATTCTTCAGCTAAAATTTTCTTAAATTTTGGTTTTATCCTACAATATCAGAAGAGAAAAAAGAGAAAATTCTCGTGCTTAATTAGAGTAATGAGTTGCTTGAAAAATGCTTGGAAATACATCAATATTGCACAGCAGAAACTGGTACTGATCGTGGACCACCTGGACCAATTGGACCACCTGGATTACCTGGGTATGTTGCCGTGCGAATTAAACTCCATTAATTCAGTCGTCATACTTACGATAATAAAATTTATCTAATTTCTAGAAATCCTGGAAAACCTGGACCACCCGGACGAGATGGTCTAATGGGAATGCCTGGACCTCCTGGTCCACAAGGTACTATTTTTTCTGTTTTTAAATATTATTACCGTATATATTGTTGGTGTATTCGGTATCTATTTTATATTGCACCATATGCACCAGCATAGAAAATTTTGCAAAAATTATAGGACCACCTGGAATGCCCGGAAAACATGGAATATGCCCTAAATGTTCGCTTGCGGAGAATTTTGAAATGCTTCGTAAAATGGAATGTCCAAAAATTGAACAAATGAGATGTCCAACACAAATAATATCTGATAGTGAGGGTGGACCGCGATACATCGAACGTCAACTACCATATTTTGTGAGATTGGTATGCATTGTTATTTTTCATTGTATATATTTCTCAATTTATCGAAAAACCGAAATAATATTATCTAACAGAAGTAAGTGCGCTTATTTTAACAGATGCTTTTAAATGATACTGATTTAATGCCGGAAATTGATAAATGTGTTCGCATTTGTCTACTAAATATAACAATACCATCTGAAGCAGATATCCCACCAATTAGTACTGAAATAGCGTATATCGAGGGAGCAACAGCACGTAAGTTTCTTCTCGTAAGCTTTAAATTTCAAATGTTAAAATTACAATAAATTACGATATTTAAGTAAATCTTTCGATAATAATAGCATAATCTTTTTGTTGTTACTGCAATAAATTACTTGGAAGATCTAATTAATAAATTACTTATATCAAATTTTCAAATACAGATTGTTATTTGAATGATGTTGGTAAACCGATATTTCATGCTCATTCTAATACCTATTTCGGATCATGGATGCGTGATGCTTATCCACAAAATGGTCAGGTTCGCCTGTTTTTATGGTATTTTTGGATGATCATGAATGATAAGTAATGAAAGACATAATTTACTGATTTACTTTTCTGGTTTTTGCTATTTTATCACTATACTTAATATTATACAATAATAAGTAATTCTAATTAAAGGATATGATGAAACGTTGGATGACAAAACATTTTCAAGGTGATACAGTGGAAGAGTATCTGGATGAAGGTGACATGCGACGGCAGCGTATTTTTGTCACGTTAGCAAGTTTTTACTTTTCTTATCACTAATATTTCAACTCGATAATAAATAATTGAAATGTGCTAACAATAGTTTAAATAATTTTCAAAAACAGCTATTTATAATCTTCAAGTGATCACTGGCGCTTATTAACCAACTGAGCCAAATATTTTTGCCGATTAAACAATATGATTGTACAAGGATGATGCTATGAGTTGCTGGAAAAAGTATCAGCTGTCCAATAATTTTTGAATTAAAAAAATCCTTTGAAAATAAGTCAAAATGCTTCAACAAAATATTTCGGGAAATATTAGAAATGATAAATTGTAATTGATCAATCCGAATTTTAGGCATCAAATGCCTTATTTATATGATGGAACAAATCTAATATTTTTCAATGGTTCAATATATTTCCATCGTGCTGGCACTCCTAAAATTGGAAAGTATGAATTAAATTCAAAAGTTTACGATGAAGTTTTAATTGATAAACATGCGGCACATGGAGGAAATAATGTGAGTTTAATTTAATTTATTTGGAAGATTGAAATCTTTTATTCAAAAAATTCATTCCCATTTAAGTTTTTTTAAATTCAAATTCTTTTAAATTTACAAAACATAATAGACTTTTTATTTGTTTGTTTGTATTTGTTTGTTGTTTGTTTGTTTATTTGTTTATTTATTATTTGTTGTTTTTTATTTGTTCTTATTTATTTTACCGCAAAATTTATTTCTCAATTACAAAATTTAAATTCGGGAAAAACTCAATGAAAAATTCTTTTAGTATTTATTTAATTTATCGATGAATTATTTCGATTTGGCTGTGGATGAGAATGCTTTATGGGTGTTATTTCATTATGAGGATGAAGAATTTTTGTCTGTATCGAAATTAGACATTGGCAATTTAACTATTTATGAAACTTGGAATTTAACTTTGATTAATCATACCGAAGTAGCGAATGGTTTTGTCGTGTGTGGTGTGCTATATTTGGTTTGTTGAAAATTTTAATAAATTGAAAATTACTATTCTTTGATTTTTTTTTGAAATTTAATTGAAAGCGAACGAAAGATAAATTTGTATTAGACTATTTAAGCAATTGCATAATAAAATATAATCATTAATTATCATTTTTCATTTTTGATACTTTTGTTTTTACAGGTAAGAAGTTCATATGAATTAAAGAGTGAAATAGCAATCGCATACGATCTTTATCGTAATAAATACCGTAAGCCAAATATTCATTGGATTAATCCATATCGAAATGCTAATATGATAGCATATAATCCTTATGATAAGCGAATTTACATTTATGATCATGGTTATTTGTTAACTGTACCAGCACGAATCACTTGGACAGCTAAATAACGGAGCTCCTTTGATTAGCTAATTAGTGCTTTTATGATAATGAATTGCAAATCTTACAATCTTATAATCATTTTTGCAAATGTTTTATCAATATGAGCGACAAATTTCACTAATCATTGAAAGTAATACTATCGTTTTCATAAATTTTAAATTTGAAGCAGTAAATTCATCCCTTGAATTAAGAATTAATTATTCATCACATTTATATTATCCCTCAGTAATTAATATAAGTTAAATATTTTCTAATTAATTTGCTTAGATATTCAAATGTAACTTTTTCTTTATTTTACACCAATTTCAATGCTTTCATAAATATTTCATACCTCCTTGTTTTATACTTATTGTATTGTTTTTAAAAATAAAAGTTACAACAATTCCTACGAACTATTTGACAATAAACTTAATTAATACTTTCTGAATTAATTATTATTCAATTATAAAATTGAAAAAAAAACAGGTGAGTAGTGAAATTAAAGACAAACAATTTCATCATATATTTCAATATTTTACTTTTAATGTAATAAAACTATTTATACATTGAAATTGAATGGAAAATAACTATTCAACAACTTCATTAAATCATCAAATACTTTCTTCTGAATGCTTCACGCTGAAATTCGTAAACAAAAAGGAGAAGGAAATGAGTAAACAAGCTGTATTATTTGATTGATAATAGCGGTAAAGTGTTTGAACATATTATGAAGAAATAACAGAAATTGAACTTCTGAATAAATTATAAATTTTTAAATGACCAGCAAAATGGCTTTATAGTTTCTTTAGTAATTTGAAAATCTTTTAGTTAATTTAATTTTCGAATAAATCTAATTTTAGTTTATTTTTCCAGTCTTAGGTAACGCACCTAAAATACGAATTGATTTGATGAATGAATTTAAGGAATCAAATTTCCGATTACTAAGCATTTCGGTATCATTTCAGTATCAGTTATTCCAGAAGTTTTTATTTATTTTTAAACACTTCTCAATTGTTTTGACTTCAATTAACGAACTATTCAATAATATGAATCATTCAACAATGTTGTATTTCCTCCAACAGTGCATTTCGTTTTGAATTTAAAATCAGAAATTAAAAACTTAAAAGCAAATGTTTTGCTGCGATTAATATAACGTTGAGTACATTGAAATTTGTTACTTCCAAAAGGAAAATTTTTAAACAAAATATTATATGTGTATGGCATGACATTTGAAAAATCGAGAAATTTAATAATTAAAAGTAAATAAATGAAAAAAGTTAATGCTTATCATATACATTTATTATTATATCAATAAATCGATTGATTTTAAAATTGCTTCGAAAGGAATCTTTTTTAAAACAAAAATTTTAGGCTAATTTTCTTTGTATGAAAATTCTATTCCAATAAACAATTGTTTTAATAACTGTCATAAAATACACTAATCAATGTTTATGAGAAAATTTCATACTTCTAATCAAAATAAAAAAATTAAACAACTGAATGAAAATAAATAATAAAGGGATGGACGCTTTAGAAGTTAAAATTTTTCATCTTCTAAAACGATGCTTAATTTCATTGATCGATAAATCCCGGAATTTTCTTCAGAGGATCTTATTAGGCACTTCTCTTATAAATTACATTCGCAATTTTCTCCAACTTCAGGTCGCACTACCAAAATATTTGCGTTCAAATGAGCAGCTTATTTTAAATTTGAAACAAAATTCTCGAGGACATACATCCCAATTTGATTTCTATGCAATATTATATGATATAGCACAATATGCAAGGAAAGATAATTTCCAAAAAGGGAATTAAAATCGATACTTCATAATGAAGCATTGCGTTTTACGTATATGCATTCTAATATTTCCTAATATTGCATTTTAATATTTATCGAATGAGTCATTTATAGTTAAGATTATATTTAAAATTAACTGCTAAATAATTATTTTATTACCTGACACTTTTTTTATAAGGTAGGGATTTTTTAATGATGATTATTCATTTTCTATTTTTAGTATTCCAAAAGATTTAATTTCTTTTTTTGAAATGAAATTTATTTCATTGTGAAATATGAATACTATATAGTATGTACACGGCCTTGAATTCAAGGAATTTGGTATTTATCAAATATGGTCTGAAAGATATCAGCAAATGTTATAATCATATAAATCCTTATCTTTTGAGATTCTTTTTACAGATCTATTCCAAATAGTAAATATAACATCTCAAATCAGTTTTGATAAGTGATTTTGATAAGTAACCTTTAAGCTGGCAACAATTTCAAATAATACAAATATCGAAATATCTTTTTTTTTCCGCAATTCTAGCATTTTTCAGAAATTTAAAAATTTTTTTAGACAGCCAATAATGATGCATTGCGGGTTTTTTTATCATAAAATCTTAGAACTGAAAAACTGATTTGATTTGACATTTGGAAGAGACATTTAATAGGACATTGGCCCAAATGAACTTTTATCAATTATCATTACGACTGGAAATTTTTGTTTTTTTTATGATAACATATCAGAATAATATCAAATTATTTTCTCTAATTTGATCTTTCTCTCTAAAAAGTTATTTTAAAAAATTTAGAAAGTTTAAATTCAATTTATCAATGCATCAGTGATCTTCTTCTCTATCTCTCTCTCTCTTACTTATATATGTGTATGTTTGAAGTATTGAATTTATTTTATACGTCACCTAATTAATATTATTAAATTATAAAATATTAGTAAATTAAATTGATCGACTCGAAGAACTCTAAATTTTGTTGCATAAAAAATATAAAAGAAAAAAGTGAGCAATTCTGATAATCGATAAACTAATTGATAAAGATGGAAGAGATAAAATAAACGGAATAAAGGAAGAATTATAAATAAATTTAATTCTAATATTATCTAATTATTATTGCCATTTAATTATTCATTTAAAATTTTATCAAATGTTAAATATTTAAAATTTATTGAAAACAATTTCATGCCACCGCTTATTTTGACATCACTTTTCCTTCTAAATTATTTACCAATTAATTCATACTTTCATTAAAAATAATTAAAATTTTTAATTTAAATAATTTCCAAAAAAAGAAGCCATATTTTCTCGAAGGTTATGTTTGAAAATTATTTTAATTTATTTGAAAATATAAAATTTAGTAATACAAAATATATTATCAAATAGCAATTTAATAGTAAGCTTTTTTCGAGAATTTATTAAAACTACGATATTTTAGTGAAATTGATAAAATTTATCACAAATGATAAAGATTCTATAATACAAAACAAAGGCAAATACATAAAAAGAATGAATATAAGGGTTACTTTTAAACATAAACGAAAATTAAAATAATTCATTACTTATTAATCGTAATTTATACAATCATGCAAAGATATCAATCAATCAATTAATCAATCAATCAATTAATTAATATCGTAATTAAAATAATTTCTTTTTTTTCATCAAATAAGCAAATTGGAAAATATTAATTCCTTCTGAATTTTTTAATTAAAATTTTAAATTTGCAGTTAGATTTTTTCAGTGATAGAAAACCTGCCTAAATAAATAAACTAATAGTAATTCTTAAAGAGAAAGGCCTATTATTAGTAGATAAACACAACAAAATAATTACTTTAAATTATGCAAAATAAATTAAAAAGTAAAAATAAAATATCCACGAAGAGATTATAATAGACAAAAATGCCAAAATGTGTTCGAAAATTGTAGAAATTTATGGTTTCTTTCCAATATTTTTGCTCATTATTAAATCATTTCAGTAATATTTATATTTTCAACAAAATTTTCTTTTAAATTTTTTATAGCTGTCAACAATAATTAAATATATATACCATAAAATAAACACAAACAAATCAATGATTCACATTATTATTGATTAGATAAATGTATCATACCATTTTCTATTTCACCATTAAAATTTTCATAGGTTGGTAATTCATTTGTCATCAAATTAACTTTTTGACTTTCATTCATAGATAACTCCTCTTTGCGGCTTTCTTTTATTTTGATCTTTTGTCCCATTGTTGATATTATATGTCCATCAGTCTTGCATTGTTGTTGTTGTTTTTGTTTATTCAATCGTGCAGCAATTGCTGTAATTAGCGCTGCACCTTTACCGCTACCATCAGCTGTTTTTAATAATTTGAACTGAAAAAATATCAAAAGCTTTTTTCTAATAATAAATTATTGTTTTACAATTAAATTATATTCAATCAAAATTAATCGTTAAAAACTTCAATTTTAATAGATTTAACAATTTTCCCATTTATTTTTGAGGAAAAGAAAATTGAAATATGGATATTTATGATATAATTATATAATCAAATTATATGATAATTATCATTATCTAATGATAATAAAATTTATCAATAAAATATATGCAATACCAACATTAAGGCCCGGATCAACAAGCTCTTTCAATTTATCATGAACCCAGAAATCGAAAAATGGATGATATTTATATGTACTACCATCTATTCCAACTACCATATTCTCTTTTCGGATACGATTTAATAAACAAGCGATTGCTATAAAATTTCAAATTATTCATAAAAGAATGATAAATTTCAAATTTCTTATCAATCATAGAAATTTCTTTTACAATACTTTTTGTTTAATTATTTTAAAATAAAAGATTTTGTTGATTACAAATGAAATCATTCTGTTATAAATACGACAAATGAAGAAACAATAATGAAAAAATTTCGATTCATTTTTATTTCATTTCCCATAATTGGCTTTTCATCTAAACTTTATTTTATTATTTACATTACTATTTCTTATCGAAATTATTGTTTGATTAAATTATACCTCAAAATTATTACTCTTTTAATTATATTATTGAAATTTAATCTTTTCTAAAAAATCAATTAATTCTTACAGTGATGAATCTAATGGATAGAATCTAATCATTGATAGTCTGATTTCTTAATGGATATCCTAGTTTAATGTGAATTACTCAGAATATGATTAATTTTTCTCAGCATTCTTTGGATGAAGTTATTAGCTTCGAATGTTTTACCAGCAGCGCCAAGATTGGCTGATCGACGTGAAACGACAACGCAAACCTCCCGAAGAAGTAGCATATCACTGAAGCTATATTGATATATACCCAGTTCATCCAATATATCTCTCGTATGTACATATGAACCAGTTTCATCTCTGAAGGAAACTTTCATAAATTTATTTGTTTATTTTACAAAACTATTTTCATCATCAAGCTGGGCCTAAATATCTTATCATAGTGCGGTATTAAAATCGATCAGACGACATGTATAACGATTGATTCAATCAACAATTAGATTGGAGAACTTAACATTTGAGATATTTGTTATCCAAAAATTGTATGTATAGTGGAATGGAAAGCAGAAAATGTCGAAGTATGACTATGATATTCTTTAGCGATAATGTTTTAGGCATAAATTTGGATAGTCAAAAACTATAAATACTTCGCATGAAACTTTCATAATAAATTTTTCGTCAAACATCTGCATGAATATGTATAAATGTGAATTTGTATACTTACAACAATTTAAAATATTGTGATAAAATGTTGAAATGTCTTATTTTTATTATCTCCCAAAAATAAAAGTAATTTTAAAAATTTTATAATTTCTTCTTTTTCTTTAATGTAAAAAATTAGTACTAATTACTTAATTACTTCATTTCGTATTCTATTGAATTTCAAATTTTGCAAAATTAAAATTAGAATTTTATTTCGCTAAAAAAACTGATTTATTCATTTTAAATCAGTTTTTTTTCTTCAATTTTTCAACAGTATTCAATTTACCTGAGCATTTCAGAAATATATTTGGTTGGAAAAGAATCTTGTTTGAAAAGTCTATCCGAACCTTTACCATTAAATAGAATATTAGCTCGTGTTAATTTTTCCAAGACAACTCTTACTACTTCACCCATACATTTTCCACCAACAAGTTTATCAAATCTATAAATACCTTATCACTAAAAGATATGATTAATAAATTAATATATATCAGTATTACTGTTATCTTTTCCAGCTGACTGAAAAAAAAATCTCATTTCATTCATTAAAATGGATAGCAATAAAGAAAAATGAAAAAACAAAAGAAAGAAATAAATTGTAAAAATTAAAAAGAAAAATGAAATAGTAAAAATAAAAAAAACATGTTAACGCCTGGGTGCTCCGAGTGGCTATCAACAATTTTATCATATTGAGTTAATATATAATCAGCTTCCGAATTATCACCGAAGCCACCCCATTCCGTATCAATAATCATCTCTGAATATTCGTAATCAGTGGTAGCTTTTGTTAAACCATATTTGATTTTTGACGCATTTTCCATATATGAAGCATTGGTACCAGTTGCTGAAATGATATTTTCTCTTTTCTTCTTCTGTTTTCTGTCCATTGTAATTTATTTGCTAATTTAATTAAACTTAAAAAAAACAATTTTGATGAAAATATTCCATTTGTAAAACTTACCAATAATAACACCAACATCACATTTGCCACCATTTCGATGAGCAGCTGCTACCATTGTACCAACGGTATCATTAATTAATGCTATCACTTCCACTTTAATATCCTAAAAATTATTCACCAAATGAATGAAAGAAATTAAATAAACAAAAATTTGTCCAATTTCACTAAAAATACAAATTATACCAGTGATAGGTATATTAAAAAGATAGCTCCGCTTAAAACAATATAATTTTTAAATAATTATCAATCTAATTTAAATAATAGAAATTTAATTTCTAATAGTAAAAAGCATATTAAATTATACAACAAAAATATCAATAAATTATAAATATTCTGTAGAAGAAATTTTAAAATTAAAAGACTTACGCCTCTTTTGGCGATGGATTTTTCAAGAAGTTTTACAACATCTTCTCCAACTACACCTGTTGCTTCAAAACCTTTTGTCCATCTAAATAGTTTCGTGTAGAATTTTTTATTTCTTATTTTTTTGAATTAATTCTTTGAATGAATTTTCGCAAATTTCAAAACAATTACCAACCTGAGTAGTGTAGCGGAACGCAAACTTTTCTGATTACATGGATAGGAAAATGTGAATCCTACCGGTAGGCCATCATTCTGAATACCTTTTTCAGTCAGAAATTCTGCTAAGCATTTTGCGATATAATCGAACAGCTTAAATATGAGTTTAAAGATAAATTTAAAATTGTATTCTATTAGGAGCAAAAAATTAAAATGGACAAACTTAGATTAGCATATTATATTTTCAATTTCAGGTTTGATACTTTTAGTAGAATTTCAGAATTCATACATTGTCGATTAAATAGAGGAATTTCATCATCCATTTATTCCTTCTTTTAAAAAAAATAAGTTGAAAAATATTCTGTTTAGTGAAGCAATCAATTCGAACTATTTATCTAAATGAAATACCGTTACTGATAAAAATCAACCTGCTCGCCGGTACCACGCATAGCCCAATTTGGTATACGTGTATTGAATTGCTCCGTTTTAAGGTCTTCACCAGGTATAATATCCATTAACATTACGCGCAAATTGGTACCACCCAAATCCATTGCAATAAATCGACCTTCTTCTGTAAAATTTCTGTAAGCATACGTCAATTAAGCTCCGAAATACGTCAGAAGAAAAAATTGGATAGCGTAACAGATGTATGTGTGTGTGTGTACATGTATATATGTATGTGTATGTGTGCGTATATGTATTTATGTATGTGTATGTGTGTGTATGTCTTCCTGTGAATTGATGTTTGCCTTTAAAAGAATTAAACTTTAATTTTTGGAATGAATTTTGAATTTCATATTCAAATTTTAAATTAATTAAAAACGCTATCACTTTGTGTTGAGAAAAAAGGAGATTTTTAATAAGAAAAATTTCGTTAATAGAAAATAAATATTTTGACAAAGTATCGAAACAGTGAAAGATCAAACTGATATGATTGATAACTCTATCTTATAGGTGATATTATTTGCATAAGGGATCACCAACACTGATGATTTTAATATCATTTATGATCGTTCACCGATCTTTCAATGGTGAAAACAAAAAATTTATAAATTCAAAAAAGAGGGAAAAGGAATACTAAAATGGTTGATTAAAAAAAGGATTCATGATATTAACAGTGAATGGATTCTGCTCAATTTATTTATCAGTTCATATTATCCCGTGGTGTTGAACATTTTGTAATTAGCGACAATCGATAGGATAGAAAAATTATAAAAATGTAATGATAAAAGAAATGATAAAATATTGAAATGATAAGTAAAGTTTATCTTTTAATTAATTACCTACTTTTTTATAATTTTTAATCAGTCATTTTAGTATTCGTTTTCCATTTTTCGAATTAAATATTTTTGTTTTCTATTATTTCATTTAGTTAATTTTAATTGCATAAACGTAATCAATCAGCTAAGAAATATATGTGTTCTTTTTCTCCATAAAAGGAAATTTTCAATTAATTGATGCTTCTGTTTTCTATTATTTCAATTTCAAATTATTATTTTGAGTTAATTGTTTACATTGTTTTCAATTTCAAATTATTATTTGAGTTAATTGTTTATTGTTATTGTTTACAGTTCACAAAATAAATCATAGAACGATCCTATAAGCGATTAGCGTCTGTAAAAATAATTCAAAAATTCATTTTCAATTTTTACATTTTTATTTCATTATAATAAAAATTATACTTTATTTCATTATAATAAAAATTATAGTTTATTTCATTATAATAAAAATTATAGTTTATTTCATTATAATAAAAATTATAGTTAATTATTGCAAAATTAATGAAAGTTACAAAATGCTTCGATTTGAAAAAATTGAACAGAAGTTCTGATAAAAAAAAGTCGAAAAAAAGCAGTAACCTGTTCCATCAGGTAATTCAGGTACAAAAGATGGCAACATTGATACGGTACTATTTTTAGGTCCACCTTCAAGACCTTTGTCCATATTATGAGACATATGTGCCATCATTCGGCGAAGTGTTTCATTTGATAATTTGAATTCTGCCATCACTGTTTCCAGCTAAAGTTTACAAGTGAAATAATCATTATTTATCCAACTAAAACAACTTTTTATGTCGTATTTCTTGCGGTAAAAAAAGGAAAAGAAATTGTAATATTTTCAAAAATATTTTTTAATGATTTAATGATTTAAACTCCAAAGTATTAAAATAATATTAAAATATTTATTAATGTTTGGATTTGAAAGTGAAAAAAACAAAAATTTCATTAATTAAAAAAGCTTTGATAAATGAAATAAACCGAAATCGGTGGCTCATCGAAATTGAAATTTTGTTGTGTTTCATTACTTCCTCCACATTCATTAGTTGCTCTATTCACAGAGCATTCATTGCCTTCATTTTTGCGCTCGAAACTTTTCCGCCAATTTCGGAATGCGCTTGTAATCGCTAAGATTCCTATCATCAATAATTCCTTCTTTTTTTTAAATCTAAAATAATAATATTATATTTGTAATTTTTTGAGTAAATTAAATATTAAACGTATAACAATCATGAAAAAGATTGAATTTATATTTAAAGTAAACGGTCACAAAAAAAATTGATGAAAATTTATAAAATGATCTTAAAAAATAATATTAGGAAAAAATTGAATAGCTAAATAAGTTAATAAGATTACAAGTAATTTTATTCATAATATAATTTCCATTGAACATAATATCGTATAGCAATATAGAACGATTTAAAAATTGACTTGAACTAGACTAATTAGAATTAATTAATTGATCTAGGCTAAATTTGGACTATCAAAATAATTATTCTTTTCTTGTTCCTCAAAAAAGAAGGAGCAATAAAATTGAAAGAAATTCAAAAATTAAAATTGCCCCCTGGCTAAGATGAAGAAGAACAATGTTTAAACCTTATGATTTTGATTACTTCTATTTCTTCTTCTATCCTTTGTACTTTTATATACCTCTTTCGTTATCCGTTTCAACATCTTTTCCACCTACTCCTACTCTTTGCTCTTTCAAAAAAAAAACAGAAAATACCATTAAAATTTTAAATGAAGTTTTACTAAACTTTCTGAAATATATTTGTTAGATTCTTCCAACTCTTCCAATATCATATCATTTCTGCACTTAATGGTTTCATCGATAAAAACTTTTCTAAAATGATATCATTAAGATATCACTTAGATCTTTTTCATTTGATGATAATGTCAGTGTAAAATATATCAAAGAGTGATAAGATGGAAAAGAAAAACATTCTTTCAACTTCTTCTTCTTCTTCTTCTTCTTTTTTGCTTCCTTTCATTTCATTAAATTTTTAAAATGTAAAATATGAAAAAGGAAAAAAATGATAAGCGAATATCTTTCATTTAACCTTTGAACTAAAAACTTTGCATACTCACATTTAAACGTTAACATTTTGATGATTTGTATTAAACTTTCATTTTTGCTACTATTATTTAATAATTAGCGATCTATTTTGCATGTTTAATTAATTAATTAGTTGAATAAATTAAAATATGTGAAATATGGAATGACTTCAAATAATAATCATTCTTTTAAAAGTTTCTAATATGTAATTAATCATTCGTTGAGTTGTCTAATTTTAAAGATAAACTGAATATGCACAATAGAAGAGATTTTCTTATCACAGATCTCTAATAATACTAAATGCTGCTTATACAAATTAAATAAATGGTTCTATTGAATAACTTTGTAATTAAAAATTAGCTAAATGAATTGGTTGATTAATTGATAATATAGTAATCGGCAATCAACAACAGATATTAATTTAATATAAATAATAATAAATCAGTAATCAACAATTACATGACTGGTAAATAAATATTAATCAATAATGGAATGATTGATAATCGATCGAAATAAATAACTACAAAAATTAATATTAATAAATTAATATATTATCGAAAATTTGAAATGATAATAAAAAGAAAGGCAAAATATAATTGTAAACATAAGTTTTATTAAGAATAAATTACAAAAAGATATATTTAATATGAAATTAAAAAGATATGAAATAGCAAAAGACAAAAATTATTCGAATTTTTGGTTTTGTCATTTTCTTTTAACATTTTTTCATTAAGCAATTAAAAAAGAAAAAAGAAAACAATAGAAGAGAATATTATGAGAAGATAATAATGGTGGAGTTTTAATGTGTTCAATGATAACAGGTAAATGGAGCAGATAATCATTCTTGAATTAAGAAAGATTATATCCTTAATGAAATCATAGCGATTAGTACCATAAATGAGTATTATGAGTACCATATCAGATCGAATATCAGATATCAGGAGATTAAACGTGATGTATCGTAATCTTCTATATCTCACTATTATCATGATTTTTTCAATAAAATATTGATTATTTTAAGTTATTACAAAGTTGTTATTATAAATGAAAGAATGAAATCAAAATTATCAGAAAGAGTATGCAAAGATATTATTTTGAAATGAATTGATTTGATTGATTAATCGATGAAAAATATTATTTTAATATTTATGTGTGCAAGTGATAAGAGATAATAAGAGAGTATATTTATCAAAAATTTGTTAATTTCAAAAAGAAAGAGAAAGAGAGAGAGAAGCAATAATAACTGACAGATAGATTGGCTTGTTATTCGAGTTTGGATGAATGAAAAGCGGGAAGTAAAGGAAAAGAAAATTGTTTGAAGTAAATTGTTGACGAATTATGTGTTCCATTAATTCTTAAATGAAAATATCATAGATTGAGGAAAGGAAAAAAATATGATAGGAAACGAAAATGTGACAAATGAATTGAATTCAATTTAAGCACTTTAGAAATGCTTTTTGTTTACTTTCCCTTCTCTCTCTCTCTCTCTCTCTCTCTCCCTCTTATAAATTAATTGTAGAAATGATAAGAAAAAAATGATTGTAATTAGTAATAATTGAAGAAACTTTTTATTACATCAAATATATTTAATTAAAATAGTCTTATTGTTAATTAGAAATTGCTTGTCTAAAATATCTGTCAATTAAGAAAATTTTTTGTAAGAGTATTTCTGCAATGTTATTTCTGTGTAAATAAGAATGTTTCGACGATGAAAAGTAAATGATTTTTGATTAGTGATGAAATGTTCATATTATATCAATTTAAATTTGATACATTTCAATTTCATTCCTCAAGAAAAGACGTCACAATTTAGAATTGAAATTTCAATTGGTAGTAATTATTTTTAGCCCAACAAATATTAATGTGAAATATAGCATTGAAATATTCAAGTGTTGAATTTACATTCGAAATACTTATGATGAAGTTAAAGTGAAAAATTTTTTATATTAAAACAATAAGATGAAAAGTAACTGATTTTCAATTTCTCTACTAACAAATCATTTTGACGACAATTTCATTTCTTAGATAAATAAGATAGCATCTCTACTGATAATCTAAAATATAAACTTTTAACTTTGTTGTGTTGTCGGAAATGAAATTATATTAATTGAAATGATTGGAAAATACTTAAATACTTCAATACATAAGAAATGTCAAAGAGAAATTTGTCATTAAATAAAAGATAATGAAATTTCTCAAATTGTAATGCAAAAAATGTACGGAATTTTCTTTTTGATACTTTTAATATTATTGTGATACGATCGTATGTTTGATGTGTTCAGGCCTATCTGTTTATAAAATGCTTGGCTTTCTTTTTCTATTTTAACTTTAAACATTATCTACGGAATCGATAAGTATATATATATATTATTGGAAATAAAGTAAATCGACATAATGAATAAAGAGCAAATCGATTATGAAGTGAGAAATAAGCCAAGCATTAGTGTGAAGGTGGAATTGCCTAAGGATAAAACCTCTAATTATATCACTTATAAGTGAAAGTATTAGTGACATCCTTAAATGTATTATTAATAGTAATTATTGATAAACTTAAATTCATTCTTTATTTTTCATTAAAATTAACTTGTTTTGATATATATAGTAATTAGTTATCAAACATGCAAGAATGAAAGTAATGAAATTTGATCAAATGACATCATAAGCTTATCTCTTTTGATTATATCATTTCAAAGAAGTGCGATGATATAGAGAATGGGTGTAATCATAATTTCACTAATAATATGCGTGAGGGTTTATGTAACAGAAGAAGTAATGTTAGATATCAAAGTTATATCATTCTCTTATTTTTTAAAGTTAATTAGTAATGCAAACTAATGATCACTTAAGCAACAGTTGTAATTAATATATCTTTATGGTGCAGTTATGTGACATAATAGGGGGAAAAGTATCAAAGTAACAAAATCATAATAATAGTTGATCATTATCGTTGATTATACTAAATCGTATTTCATTTCAAGCATGGATATCAATGAAAGAAGATGAATAAATGATATGAAATTAAATAGGCTTGGTGAAGAGATTAAAACGATGTTACACGTGATATGAATAGTAATGAATGCAAAATTAATTGATTAAAATTTGTTTAACGAAAGGAGCAACAGTGAACTCTGATCCTATAAAGTACTACGTCCTGTTTTACAACAACAATAAAATAAATAAATTGAATTAATTAATAATAATTTCACTTAATATTATTTTAACACAAAATTTTAAATCCTAATATTTTCTTTAATTATTTTAAAATTTGTTTCATAAATAATAAACTACTCCTGTTATTGCTAGTGAGTTTGTGCAAAAGTGTTGAAGATGGATTGATGGATGGATGGTTGGATGGTTGGTTGGTTGATTGGTTGCTTGATTGGTTGGTTGCAATTACAGAAAAATGGTGGAATAGTGATGTGGAAAACTTTATAGTCTGTAATGCCTTCTTTCCATTCTCTTAACTCTTAACTGTAGCTTTTCCGAATCAATCAATATTCATTAAGATGAACCGGAAGAAGATTGATGAAACAATTTTCACATTATCGTTCGCAATAATGTTCAGCTGACTGACATAACATAAAATAACTGGGATAAAGAATGCTACTATATTTTTTAATAACTTTGATAGTCTAAAAAATGAGATAAAATCTTTTTCTCACTTCTTCTTCATCTCTCTCGTGAAAAATGAAATAGACAGGTAAAAGGTAAATTAAAGGAATGAAAAACAGGTTATTCGATTTTTTTTTCCAGTTGAATAACTTTTGTTTAAAATGTTAATTGAAGGAAGGACAAATCAGTTTTAAATGAAATTTTTTTTGATTGGCTTTTGGAGGAAAAATTTATAATAAAATAATTTAATTACATTAAGTTGAAAGTTCAATCTAATTTAACCCAATAGAATTTAATTGAAACTTCTAAATATCTTCTGATTAATTAATATTTTGAATATACAAAAAAGAAACAAATAAATATGAAGATAAGGGCCAATTTAGCATAATAATAGGAATCGATAACAATTAAATTTAAAAACAAAATAAATAGCAGATGTTATATGATGGCATGCTTATATGTTTATGTATGTATGTATGTATGTGTGTGTGTGTGTGTGTGTGTGTGTGTATGTGTGTGTGCTTCCATGTTTATGTAGGAGTGTGTTTGTCTGTTTATCTATCTGCCTGCACGCATAAGGGGCATTATTTGATTTTGATTTGAAGATGTTCTCTGGTATAGTACAGGTATAAATAAACTAATGATTCCTATATAGTTCGAATATATCGAATAAGACGGGGGAGAATAATCTAAGATCGATTCTGAGAATATTTGAAGGAATGATGCTATCGCTCACTTATTTTTTTAATTCAATGAATTTCTTTTTGGATGTGAAATTTTCTTTTTATTTTTAACTTTTGATAATTTAAAAGGAAATTTTGCAAAGTTGTAAAATTAGAAAGAAAAAATATAAAAATGAAATGAATGGTTGGAAACTGTAAAAGAACGACAAATTTTGAGTGTATTGAAAGCTAGAAATGTTTACATTTTATATTCAATAAATCTGACAATGAATTTCATTTCAACTTTTTAATTTCTAAAAGTAATTTCGAGAGAGAGAGAGAGAGAGAGAGGGAGAGAGAGAAAGAGAGAGAAGAAAGCAATAAATAATGCCAATATTTTAAAATGGAAACGATTCATTCCAAAGTTCTTTTTCTATTTTGTTTTGTTCTTTTTTCGTTCTAACAAAAAAATGTAAACATAAGTTTGAAAAAAGAAGGAATGAAACTTCCATCATTTATCATTATTTTAACTGTTCTAAAGTATTACACTATGAAAATGTTACTACTTTCTTTCTCTCCCTCTCTCCCTCTCTCTCTCTTTCTCTCTCCTTCAATTACATCAAAAAATTTAACAATCACAAATGTATTTTTCAAAAAATTTTTTTTTCATTCTCTAATACTTACATCTCTTATAAATTCTATCAATCTTTCATTCCTCATTAATACAACACTATTTTTTTTCTTTCTCACTTTAAGTTTAGTTAAATTCTATAAACACTATTATTTTTGGTTGAAATGCTAGGATTAATCTTTAATAAGTCAGCGAATATATACAACAAGATCGAATCCATCTGAAGGATTCACAGCAAAAATTCTTCAACTAATTGATACATTCATAAATTATGTAAAATTATTCTGCTTTCATTTCAGATTATCATTATGTAAAATTATTCCGTTTCCATTTCCGATTAATTATGTAAATTACTCTCATTTGATTTCCGATTAGTGTTATAATGCGATGGCAAAAAAGTCGCCGGAATTATTTCGGAACGTTTATTTACTATATTCAGTGGCAGAGAATTTTATCTCTGCCACTGATAGAATCTAATGAAAGGGAGTTTTTGCGGAGAAAAATCGGAAAACTGTTTCTGATTAATCGAATCGATCCTCCGGTTAAATTGTTGACTGAGAAAAAATGGTAACAATTACGGCTGAAATTTTTTGAAATAATTTTTTGATGGAATAAATATTTCTTTCTATATATATGTTCAACACTGTTCATCATTTATCGTCATATGATAAAACTTTACCGAAATAAATTTCTTTACACATTTTTCTCAAACTTTTAGAAAAAGGAAGCTGTAAGAGTATTTGCACAAAAATATTTGAATTTTGATCATTCTCACTTTAAAATAATATTCGAAATTATATATTGCAGCGATATGCAATAAGTATATCTAATGAAATTATATTAGCTGTCATTATAAAATATATTTGCAATGGATTTTGAAGAATAGCAAAATTGGAACTAATTAGAATATCATCTAAACTATAAAACTAAAACGAATCCATAGAAACGATTAAATGGATTAAGAATAACTGTCGTAAAACAATCTTATCAATTATTCTTATGCTATTTAATAGTTTAACCTTTTATTTACATCAAATTTTATATAAGTGAAAAACAATAAATTACTCATTGTGGAATTTCAGTATTTCTCATGCGATATATAAGAAAAAATTTTTCTGAAGGATTAAATTTAATTTTATTAGAGATAATAACCTTTTACTATTTTACAATTATACTAATAGTTAAATGATAAGAAATAATTCCTGACGATTAATTCTTTCTAATCATGATTCGTTATCATAATTAATTGTGATATAATTGTCCATCCATGTCTTAATTACTATGTTAACAAAAGCTTTGACAAACACAAATAGTTTAAACGCTAAGATTATTTTGGCTTTTAACGATGTTTAAAATTATCAATGATTTGATAATAAACATTTAAGAGAATATCAGAAATGGGTAGAATAAGTTTTGTTAAATCAAAAAAGGGAAAGATTAAAGGAAGTTAAAATGCTTAAAATTTGTTATGTCATATTCCAAATGAAATTATCATTTAGATTTGGTGAATTAGAAAATGCCAATAAGAAATTATTTTACCGAAAAGATTTCAACAATTGCAAAATCTTTCTATGAGTATTTTATTGGAACTATCATGCAATTTGGAAACGAAATTGCATTGGTAAATATGAATTGAATTGTTTTACAATGTGATAAGATCTGATAAGGAACTTATCAATTTTATCATAATAGTATATTAAATTGAAATTGAAATTATATGTAATTATGATTGCGTATCATTTTAATTTTTGCAGAAATAAAGAAATTTAGGAAAGTTTGAAAAATAATTTTTGAAAAAAAGCGAAAGAGTAGGAAATTCGTAGAAAGAAATAATTTGAGAAAAGTAAAGTTTCTAAAAATTTTTATGAAAAGAAATTTCTTTTAAATTTTAACAGTACCATAGAAATTTTAATTTTTTCATTTCAATTAAAAGAAAATCTAATATTATGATAAAATAAGATGATAAGGGAACGAACTTTTTATAAAATATTTTAGAACGATCCGGAAACAATGAAATTTGTTACCTATTCCGAGTTAATTAATCGATCACAGCAAATGCTTAGTGCTCTAATAAGGATAGGTATTCAACATGGTGATGTAATTGGTACATATGTCGGTAATTCTTCTGATTATATTACATTTATATTAGCTGCCACTGGTCTTGGAGCTATTTTGGTACCATTGAATCCGGCATATAAAAGTTGTTAGTGAACTATGACATTGTTTTAAAATTAAAACATAATAACATTCTGATAAATTTATTATAAATGAAGCTACAAGTATAAGATATTGTTAATATTATTATTTATTATCTTTTAATCTCATTCATTAGAATTTGTTGCAATTATTTTCATAATTGTACAAATGACAATTGAGGAAAGATAATAAGATGTGAAAAGGTATATATCACCGAAAAAAATCTGTTAATGAATATTTAATTGATAGTTTAAATTTAATGAATGCACTAATTTTCCGGAAACTTGAATTACAAAAAATAGTTAAATAATTGCTAAACAGATATACCTTAGCAATTATTTTATTTAAAATGTTTTATTTTAGACGAAATTGAAAAGTATTTCAAGAAAGCTTCAGTTAAATGGATATTAACAGAAGAGAAGTTATTGGAAAAAATTCAACATTTGGAGAATATGGAAGTGAGCAATTGAGTGATAGTACATTTTTTGAATGTTTAAATTATTGAACTAATTAAGTTATGTGATAATGAGGGAATGGAATGTTGAGTAATAATTAATTTACGTTCTTCCGTAAATTTAACATATGATTCATTCGTATGATTGTTATATTCGTAACTATCATAAGAAATACGATTGAGATATTATTGATTTAATTATAATACAAATATAAAAATTATTTTAATAGTATTTTCTATATTTATCATACTTACAAATCTGTTTTAGGCTAAGATTATAATGCTCGATTCGACTAAAAAAACTTTATTATATTATACTTTGCAATATTATTTAAACGATAATTCATTTTTGAATGATGAAATTATACATCATTTTCAGAATAAACTTATTTACGAATATAATACAGTAAGTTCATTTTATTCTTTTCAATTATGAATATAATACAGTAAGTTCATTTTATTCTTTTCAATTATGAATATAATACAGTAAGTTCATTTTATTCTTTTCAATTATGAATATAATACAGTAAGTTCATTTTATTCTTTTCAATTATGAATATAATACAGTAAGTTCATTTTATTCTTTTTAACAATTTGAAATTTGCAAAATTTTTGACAGAAAAAAATAATGAATAAATTCTTCGTTATTTCAAAAATTTATTTGAGACAAAAATTTTACTTACAGGCGATAATTTTTTTTTCGTCCGGAACAACTGGATTACCGAAAGGAATTCTTTTAAGTCACAATACACTTATTGCTAATGTCGAATTGATCCGGTATGTTCATTTTATAATTCAAGACTGTTTTATTCATTTCATATATAACAGCCACAGCCACAGAGATACCTGTATATTTCTCGATTTGCAACTAAATTAATTCTTATCAAAATCAAAAAACGAAGTTCTAAAATGTTAATTAGAGTTGGTTGAATAATGTTTTCAGTTTCTCTGAGATATCTGAGAGTTTAAATTACTTACAATCTAATTTTGTTGGGAGCGAAAAAAGCAAAAAATTTTCGGCATATTGTTTGTTTTAATGATAATATAATTTATAGCAAAACTCAAGGAATCAAATGTGGAAAATATGAAATGGTTAGTTTGAATGGTATGGACGTGGTATACGGTGTGTTACCGTATTTTCACGCTGGTGGTCTGCTTACTGTTTTTGGTCTTTTAGGATTAGGTGTTCAAATAATTATAAATCGAAAATTTGATGGCAAACAATTCCTGGAAACGTTAAGCAGTTATCAGGTGATATTTTATTTTTATATTTTGATTTCTTTCCTAAAAAAGAGAATGTAATTGGGAATTTGAAATTTGTCGAGATTTAGCTCATTTTTATCTTTTCATGTCTGTGATTAAGAAACTACGATAAAATTTTAATTCCTTTATTTGTCGAACTGCTATTGAACTACAAAATTTTTGTAAAACTTATTTGTAATGCATAAAATTTAGGTGACAACAGCCTTGTTGGTGCCACCAGTACTAAAGTTTCTTGCAGTTACTCCTAATCTAAATCTTGAAACATTCCATTCTCTAAAACAGATCTTCGTCGGATCAGCTCATGTTAACGAATCACTTATCAAAATGGTGAAACATCGTTTGCCCAAAACAGAAATTATTCAGTGTAAGCAATTTTTGTAAACTTATTTTTTTTAATTTCCAAATTGTCAAATGAATTTTTTAAATCTGTCTGCAGAAATTGTTAGCAAGAAATGCTAATAACTGGCAAATCAAAAAAATTTAATTTAATAGGATTTTTGAAAATTATTAATATTACTGCTTTAAACGATTTATATATTTCAGTATATGGTGCAACAGAAGTTGGTGCTCTTGTTTTCATGGAGCCATTATATCCGACAGGAAAAGATGAAAGTTGTGGAATTTTATTGCCAGGTGTTGAATGCAAAGTGAAGTTTTAATTATATCCATACTAAATGATTCAAGGATTGAGTAACTTAATGCTTTAGCTGATATATTTTCCTTCCTTTTATAATACTAATAATACTTTAAAAGGTGATAAAATTAAATGGTCAAATTAACAAAAAATAGACCCTCACACTATTGCAATCTTAGTTTTAATTAATCCTCCTATACCAAACTTTTAATCAATTAATGGAATAAATATATATTGAGGATCTGTGCTGAGAGATACAGAAAGAGAGAAAGATTTCCAGGAATTGTAGATAGGTGGTACTGTGATAGACTAATAGCTTAAAGTCAAAAGGATCATTTGAAGTTTATTTCCATCCTACCAGCCATTCTTCAATTCTATTATATGATATCATTTTTCTTCTCCTACGAATGACAATCATTAATTAATTACGGATCTTGATTTTTGATTTATCAGTGAAATGTTTTATATTTGAATGAAATTTAAGAAAAATACAGATTATGAAGTCATCGAGTAATGAAGAATGTAAAGAAATGGAAATAGGTGAAATATGGCTGAAAACAACAACAATGATGCAAGGATATCTCGATAAAACTACCGATACCGAGTAGGCATAGGATCCTTGATATTCGATGTTTTCTTCTAAGTAAATTTCATTTTAACATTACTCTGGGTTATATTTTCAGCGATGCTTTTGTTGACGGATGGTTTCGAACTGGTGATTTGGGATATTATGACTTCGATCAATTCATTTACATAACTGGTCGTATTAAAGAGATGATCAAAGTCCGCGGTTGGCAGGTGATTGATTGATTGTCAGATTTCAGTTGTTTTAATACAACATCGAAATCTTTCTTATATTTCATTAAATAAAGAAAAAATGATTATTAATTATCAGAGTTCGTTTTAATATTTTAAGACCGAAATCTTATAATTCATTAAAAAAGAAAGAAAAAATGAGCAAATTAGAAATCTAATATAATCCTTTTACTTAAAGCAAAAGAAATGCGAGAAAATGCCTTAAAGTTATATCACTAATCGATAATCCATAATTATATATTACATCTAGGTGTCACCTTATGAAATTGAGGAAACAATCGAAGAATTAAAGGATGTTGAATTATGCGCAGTGATTGGTATTCCCGATGAATACAGTGGACAGCTACCAAAAGCTTACATTCAACTTCGTGATGGTTGTCAACTGGATGAAAATATAATTCATCAACTTCTGAATAGTATGTTAATGGCACGCATTAGTTTCCAATCTTATATTCTATAAGTCTATAATAATAATAATAATACAGGATATCGATAAGGAAAAGGGCAGGGAGGGAGAGGGTGAGGGAGAAATTTTAAATCAGCACAAATACAATAATGATTTGATGATATTATCAATTGTCACATTAGCTAATGCGCAACAGATTTGAATGTAACATATAGCCGTATCATTCCATATCTCACGAATTTAAAAAGATATGCGACAAAAGGATAGTACAATTTGAAAATAATACCATAACATTTTCCTGGTTTAGTAACTATAAAAATTATCTGTTGTAAAATGATTTCGCAAAAGAATTAAAATTAAAATGCATGATGTATTTTGAATGAAAATTATTTAATGCGAAAAAAATACAACCAATCTATCGATACATTTGCTTTATTATTTGTAATTATTAGAAATATTACTAAAGATTATTATTATTTGTAATTATTAGAAATATTATTAAAAATATTTCAAACAAATGTCTGAACGAAACTGGATGTAAATTTTGTGAATAAACAATGAATACCACAATGCTTTATTATTTCAGCTAAATTTGCAAGTTACAAGCAACTAAAAGGTGGTATTCAGTTTATCAGCAATATGCCAATTAATAGTGCTGGGAAGATATCACGGAGAGAACTGCTGAAAATGAATGAAATAGAAGGTAAAGCAGTTCAATCAAAATATGATTTGTGATATCAAGCACATTTCTCTCTCTATGCTTTTTTTTCAGAGTGTAAAAATTTTTGAAAATTTCACAGTGATAAAGCATCATAAAAATTGTAAATGTTATCCTAATTTGAACTATATAGAGATCTTTTTGAAATTTTATGTAGATAATCGTGAGTCCATAATATCATGTACAATTTAAATGATGAATCTAACAGAATCGTGTCAAACACATAAAATGGAATGTTCCCTCTGATAGCTTAATTGTCATCACTGTCCAGTTCCTCTAATGACTCATAATTCGTTTGTTTAACATTTGTTAATCTCACTGAAACATCAGAACTAATGGATGAGAATCCGGAGATTTGGATGATAACTATTCCCGCTCTCATTAGTTTCAGCTTATCTTACCTATACTGCTAAAACTAGAACTAATCGTAGTTTGAAAAGGAAACATTTAAATCAAGTTATCCAAAATTTCAAAAATCTTCAATAAGTACCATGATCTCGCTTATATTAGAAATGCATGATAAATATCACTATTTTAATAGTAAAAACATGGAAACAAAAAAACTCACCTTTTACAAAACAATTAATCATCAATGGTAATAAACAGCAAACTAGAAATAACAAAAAATTTGTTTAAACATTTTCCCTTATTTAGATATTTTTCTAAAAAGTGTGTTTGAAGGAATGAGATGATTTCCCCCTTACTTTAAAAGTAGAATTGCTTAATTCTAATCTAATTTGAACCCACTTTTACAATGTGACACTGTTCCAGAATAAGTAAAAATGATTCCAGATAGAATTCGTATGAATAGCAACTCTATTTTTAAAATAGATGGAAATCATCTCATTTCTGTATTCAATTTGAAGGTGCATTTTTTCAAATAGAAAATGAACCATTCTGTTTCTTACCAATTAAATAAATTTATAGAGTATTTCAACAGTTCCGTAATTTTTCTCTCTATCATGTTAATATGTTTGCACCGATATTTTCTGCTTTGGTAAACATATCATTTTCACGGATTTTCCATTTATATAAAGCGCTCTCAACCTGTAAAAGAGACAACTTTGTCATGTACTGTAAGAAATCCAAATATTTGGAAATATATCATATACACAAACATCAAAAGTAACAGTGGTTTAAAAATAACTGTTGGTAACTGATTAAAAATCCGGATTAGTTATAGGAAAGATATTTCGGGCACTGCAAATGTTATCAAATTTTACAGTAATGAATAGATGCTAGCAATTAACTTTCAGTAACAGAGAGAGAAATAACCTTCATCAAACAATCCCGGAAAACTTGGGATTTCTTTGTCCAATCTGCACTCTGCGTCATATTACCAAGAAACTCGTAGCAGCCATGCAATGACCGCATGTAATTAACAATACTTACAGCTGTGTCAGAATTACCTGATGAAACCTATAAATTCAAAAATTATAAATTCATTTCTTTCACCTTAGTTTTATTATTCGTCTAATAAAGTATATGTTAAAGTATGCTAAATTTTATGACTGATATCACAGCTTTTCTAAAATTTAAGCAGTTTGATATTTAGCCCAGTATTGCATGTACTGCAGTACGCAAAACGATAATTTAGTTCATTTCTAGGCTAACTATATAAAAATGTACCGTTTTTAAACAAACAAAAGACTACGAATAGATTCTCATCTTCTTAGAGCCTTGAGCCTATTCATTAAATCTGTTCATTAATGTTTTATCAACAAAAATTTCATTATCACTCTGTTTTTGTTCTTAGGAAATGGCAAGATAAAAAAACTAAATTTTTTTGAAAATTTTAAATTCAACAAACCTCACTAATAGCAAGTCTCATCAGCTCGCCACCCACATCGAAAAGTCCCATCAAATATGTTACCTCAGGTAGTTCCATATAAAGCCTTAAAATTTTAGCTATTATATAATTAACAAAACTTCTCACATTAAATAAATCTAACTGAAAAAAAAAAAGCATTTGAAACTATATTCTTGAAAGATTTAGAAAAAATCTTTATGTAAAGTCAATTTCGATATCTTGGAATGGCAATCATGAAGAATAAGAGCATCGTAAAGTCTTAGGTCGACATTTTGACTGGCTAATTCAAAATAAAACAATCAGAGCAACTGATGATCTACATTAGATATTTTGTAAAATGAAACATGCAGTTTATGATCTAGTTTTGCAACCTTGCAAGAAGCTGTTGCAAAATATTTGATATGAATTGATTTTCAGGAATTTTTAATTTTGAATGTTGAACTGGACAGACCAATTGCAAGTTGAATTGGAAGTTTAGGAAGTAAAATTAACTTTTTGTTTCCTTCTGATTCTTCATCAACAAATTGTAATGTGTCGATTACCTCATTGTACATAAGCACTTCACCAGATATCAGAAACTTGTAAAATGCCAAAGCTTCGATATATTCTGAAAACAAAAACTGCCAAACCAATAACTTAAATTTACTCAGTAATAAACAGCAAATGAGAAATCAAGTAGAAAATAAAATACTAGAATAACGTATTAAATGAAAAATTAAGTTTAGCTTATTGTCTCAATTTTTCAACTTCTCAATTAATCATAAACAGACTCAAAAGAGAAAATCAAAATCAAAGAGATGCTAGAGAGATCTGCACCGAAAATAAGAATTACCTTCAAGAGCCCAGTCATAGGACTTTATATAATAGTATTGATCTAGATTACAAAGTTCTTTTGCCATTTGTCGAAGCATTTTGTTACGCACTTCATTTAATCGTTTATCTGCCTCCTTCAGTATTTCTTCTAAAGATGGATGTGGAGTTATGTGTACCGGATAATAAGATTATAATAAATTAATAATGAATTTTTCACTTTCCAAAAATAACGGAATACAAAATAATGGATATTATGAGTAAAATTAACGTGTTGTAGTCCAATAAGTGCAAGAAATGGTTTGGGAAGTGATATGAAGTTCTTCGAAAGAACCTATAGTGTTTTTTGCCGCACATAGTTCAGATATTAACAGAAATAAATGATCAGCCACTTGAATTACTCTGAGAGAAAGTAGGCGATTTTGAACATAAGATTCAGTTACATGAAATGATGAGAGTACAAATTCTGGCTGATCACTGTACAAACCTTTGAACAGACTTTGTTCCATCTTATCTTATTACCTAATGAATTAGCTCTTAAGCTGATATTTATCCTTGATCTCGTACACATGGCATTCTTGCCATGGAAAACAAAACAATGACTCTATCAAAACCTTAAACTGAGAAATTCAGCCTACCAAGTTAGCTGCACTTGTTTTAGTTTCAAATAACAAATTATACCAAGAATCATGCCAAATCCATTCTATCTTATTTCCCAACTTTTCAACAACCACGAGCTTACAAATCTGATGTCAACAATAATTTATAACTTTTCAATAAAAATTGAAACTTATATTTACCTTTATTTTTCGATGTGTCAACAATGACTGTACGATGCAGCTGGAAGATGATTCGTTTACATTCAATAATTACATCACGTGACAGTTTCACGACTCTCTCATACCGATCACGTCTTTCGTCCATTTCTAAAAAAATTTTAGAAGCTTAAGAAATAAAAAGATTCAGGATTAGGTATTTTAAAGACTGACCAAATATTAAAGTCCTTTTTCTGAATGCATTTCATATTAATAATTTTTTGTGGAACGAAATCGCTTGAAAAAAATGAACTTTTTGCAACAGGCTTTTAATCTCCAATCTTGATATATAGCGCTTGAATCTTCATATCCCATCGTATCCCTATTACAGTAGCTTAATAATAAACGATTATTTCTGAATATCATTTCTAATTGAGAGATAACTCTTACCGGAGGTAAGAAAACGAATTCTTCCCAATACCAGAAACAAAATACGCTTTCTTTATGAAAAAATCATTCACCTTTTTGATAACTGACGAAATCCCTTTTTTCTTTGTCCATAACAGTTCGCTGATATCTCGATGGGCTGGGAAATTCGTCACCGCCGATACTATTATCATGACTTCGTTTGTTACGACCACGATTTCGACCATGTGATTTCCATGAATCGGTTTGCGCATTGGACATCGTTGTTTTACGGTTCAAAAAAATCATCAAGGGTTACATGTACATTGTAAAGTCTTACTATTTTTTCACAAGCCTACCCACACTCTCTGCCTAAAATCCAGTTCTTATATCAATAACTTCGCAATCAGCTGCACAGAATTAGTTTCGTTTATCATGTTATTACAACATTGTCTTCAGCGAAATTCAGTTTTTACAAAATATTAATCCTGATTTCAGTATATAAACGTATATCCATCTAATGTAAATTCAAAAATTGGAATTAAAATTTATTATATGAAATATAGGAAATGAGTAGCATCACCACATCCCTTTGGAGAACCGAATTTAACAAGATTGAACAATAGATAAAACTTTAACAAGTAGCTCAAAAATAATTAAAATCAATACAGCTTTGCAGCTTTAGCAAAAATGTTACAAATTGTGTATTTCAAACTTATTTTTAGAGGTATGGATTACAGAAAGTTGCCCACTAATGACAAACTGTTCCATCTCCCTCTTTCATCCTCCGAAAAAAGGATTGGCCACCTCAGTCTCATCAACACGCTTTCTTTGATTCTAAATTAAACTTTTTGATTCAAACAAATAATTTACTAAAATTTCAATTTGTTAATTCCTATCAAAGCTGTAAAATTTTTCGAACTTAAATTAATGAACGTGAATGATAAAGCTGTAAAACTTTTCATAATCAAATTATTAATGACAACGACAAAGCCTGGTAGTTCAAAAGATAAAATGATCCATTGAATTTTAATTCGTGTCACGTTTCTCGATTCTCCTTAGCTGCTTCTTTTTCGTTTTATTTAGCTTGCGTGTGTTCTTAATAACTTGGACGATTTCTGCTTTCCTCTCATTTTCTTTTTGTCTCCTTTCATGCTCCTTCCGAGCCTCCACTTTAGCCTGAATCAAGAAGAAATTGGCGAAACAGTTTGAAAAAACATCATTAATTTCGATTGATGCTATAAAAATATTTGCTCTACCCAACTTCGTTTGCTCCAGAATTTAAATTAATTAAATTTAACTGGATAATTAAATGGCAATTAAAAACTGTAAGTTCCATCTTTACTCATCTTTAAATATAAATATCATCAATAGCTGAAAATGAAATGAGAATTTGTAGAAACTTAGATTGCATATTCACTCACCGCTTTTTTGGCAGCTAGCTCATCACGTATTTTTTGCTGTATCTTTTTAACATTTTCCAGTTCTGCTTTTGCACGCATCTTACGTTCCCATGAAGATTTCAGCGGCTTCACTTTTACAATAGAGAAGGACCTAAGTTAAATACGTTCAAATTCAAATCCATATAGAAAAATTTAATATTTTCACAAATCTTGACATAATAAGTACTTGATTTTGATATGATGAATATGTGAAGGATCTAACATATCTGTTTAGTCCCATCTACAAGTAAAGAAAATCCCAGAAGATCTTTTCAAAAGCTTTCTTGAATGATCTGAAATATGTGGAAACTGTCTCTTGCTCAGAAGAAGCTGAATGAAAGAACCTTTCTTTCCGAATCGATTTCCACCATCGACCTGACTTAGGTTTACGCAACATAAATTTACTATATTCATTCTCTGTGGCAGCGGCAGCACCATTAGAGTCATCATCCATTTGCATTGTAGCATCAGTTGCATGTTCGCTTGTTGATGTACTCACGTAAGAGATTTCCAAGTCATCTATTTCTCGTGTCATACTTAATCCTGAAAATAACAATAATCACTATTGAACAGTATTAGGGAGGAAATAATCACTAGACGAAACACATCAAAGAGGAAAAGCTCAAGTAACTGACAAAAGTTTTCCAAAGAGAAAACAAAATGGCATAACTTATATGACTGCTCAAACCTTAATTCCATCTCAGTTATCTATTTGGTATTCCGATATCCAATTCTTATATTTATTTTAAGCCCACTTTGCCAAACTAACATTGTGACCCAATATTCTGATCACGAAAAAAATGGATGAAAAAAATAATGAGTATAACCCTAACAAAGGACCACAAACGATTTCATCAAACAGGCTGCGTTAAAACATTCTTCCAATTGAAAAGAAGGAAGAGATTGCTACCGAGAGGATGGGTAGGGAAGTCGTAAACATGGAAAAATTGTATGCTGGAAGGGAGGTGATGGAGATAGCTGGCATTTGCGAGGTAGGATGTAACGAGGGATTGAGAGAATTTACGAGAATCTGCATTTTCGAATGTTACCAGCTATTGAGAAGGATAGGAAATAGCGTGCAATATTACGTTTGGTTGAATGGTAAAGATTGTGATGCATTAGAGATGTTAGTATTCTTAGAATCGTTTGTTCAGGTGTGTTAAGAATATATTTATTAGGTGCTTGTTGTGCTTGTTAAAAATATGCTTATTAACGATGTACTTTTTTGAGTTGAAAAAGATTCTTGCGATAATCGTTCGTTTGCAAATTTTAGCTCATCAATTAACCATTCAGTATATTATTTTCAGCGGCAATGAGTTTGCATGTATTTAGCAGATGTATGTCATTGAGTGCTGTTGTCCGAGCAACAGAACATATTGTAAGGTCACCTATTCAGGTAGAAGTTTCAGTTTTTTAAATTTGAATTAAGTAAAAAGTAAGCTGAAATGGTGTCTCTTAACCCCTATCTCATATTTATTGATTGATATGTTTATTGAAAAGGATACGGATTTTGTCATGCTTTGACTATCGATATATTTGTCAACAACATGTTTTGAGCTTATTGACGAGCTTATTGGTGTCAACATGTATATAGGATGAATATATAGGATGAAATTTTTATTCCATTAAAAAATCATTTCAAAAAATTTCAATCACAATTGATACCATTTTTTCTTAGTCAACAGTTTAACCGAGGATCGATTAATCAGAAACATTTTTCCGATTTTTCTCCGCAAAAGCTCCCTTTTATTAGAAAGATGACAAAATTCTCTGCCACTGAATATAGTAAATAAGCACTCCGAAATAATTCCGGCGGTTTTTTTACCATCGCATTTTCCTCCTGTCTAAAAAATGGACCTTTTGAATTACCATATTCTGAAACATTAGCAGGCAGATATCAATCAGTCATGTTTTGGACTTATTTCAAGCTTAACATGGCTTACTGTGTTAAACGAGCTGTAGGCTTACTTTAAGTTCAACTTCGCTTACCCGAAGTTATTGTTAGATACATCGCTGATTCTGAACTCTGACTTACGTCATCCTTGTTGAAAGTTTTTTTTTTTAATGTTTACCCATGCTTAATTGCTCAATAAAAATGAAGTAATTTCTAGGTACACGGAGTAGAAGGACGATATGCAGTGGCATTGTATTCAGCAGCAGTGAAAGACAGAAATCTTGATACTATCGATAAGGATCTCAAGTCGTTACAGAACGTTTACCAAACTAGTGTTAAATTCAAGGTATGTTGTAAAAAAGTTTTTTTTTTAGTTCTAATGTATAGAAAATCGAGAAGTGATATGCACTTGGGTAACAAAAGTTTGATGTGATGAATAATATTGATTTTCTTTGGTGTAATTTCCTCATAATATGTTAGTCAATCATTAAAAAATTAAATTAATAAAAAAAATATGTTTTGTATTGCACGCATTACATAATTCTTTTTTTTTCAAAAGCCACATTTGCTAAACCAAAATTATTTTAAGAACTTTGTACTGGATCCTTCATTAACACCGTCATCCAAAGTAAAAACTATGAAGGATGTTGCCAAAAATCTGAATGTAAGCAAGGGAACGCTCAATTTTTTGGGTTAGTACATTTGCCTTATTTTATATAGATTTATTGCATTTGCAAAAATTTTGCAAAAATTATGTTATGTTCCCTCATGTTTTAAAGACATTCTCTTAGATAGCGATTAAGAAATGATTTAAATATGTCGAACAAATTATTAGATAGTTATGTATATGAGCACGCAGACATATCTGTGCATTAGAAATCATGACGAAATAGTTTCTAATGAAATGATTGGAAATTTTGTTTAGAGATAGAGATTTGTTAATTTAGATGCCGATAAATTAGGGAAAATAAGCATTGATAATATCGTAATTATTTGTTTTTATTTTGCTTCTTAGCTACTTCTTGCATTACCGTACGTTCTCGTTCGGTCTTCTTCGCATGTTCATAAACATTTCCATAATGCATTTGGTACCACTGAAAAGGCTTTACCGGACATTTTGGAGTAAATCTCATATAGAATAGGAGAAATTCTGCAAGAAAAAGGATTCCCACGAAACAAGAAGTTTGGATGCTTGTCACTTTGTTTATGAATCAAAAAATTTGATTTAAAAAGAAAAATTGTACAACTGTGAACTGACGACTGATTATGCAAAGCTCAAGATTAGATATTTTAGTGAATTTTTTTTCCAATTAGCTTGAGTTAAATACTAACTTTTTGCATTTCTTCGTCTTTTTCATTTCGAAACAGTTCGGCTAGCGCTGATTTCCTCTCTTCTGAAGTAGTTTTTCATTTTTTTATCTATGTGTTCCAACCATTAACTTTATGCATAGACCTGTTTATGAAACTGAGCCACTGTACTTGATACTATAGTGTGTCGCCCAAACAACACGCCTGGATTGGTAACATGGCATACTCCGAAGACGAATTGATAAAGACTGTTAAGAGATGATTGAAAATCGGTCTAATAAAGTGATTATTGTAACTGATCAGAAAGCTCTACCTGTTATGTTGCCGGGGGTTAAATCATGAGAGATAGGTGGCAGATTGAAGTCGAATTGTTTTGATGTTTCGAGAATATTTTTCTCGTCAAAATAAATTCTCTTAAAGATTATTTTCAGTTTTCACCTTGCTTAAATAGCCTTTGTTTTCACCTTGCTTAAATAGCCTTGTTTTTTCCTTGCTTAAATAGGATAACTACAAATTATAGCATTCTGTAAGCATTCGTTTATCATTTTTTAAACTTTTTGAGTGAAATCTTTTTTTAATTTGACTATTTCTTTAGAATTTCAGTGCTTCCAGTGTATTTTTAGAGGAAGTGTTTGGGAGCTTAAATTATACAAGTGGATTTGTAGAATCAGTTCTAAGCCACATGAAAATCGAAGCTTAGATCATAAGAAGAGTAGTTACCTCTTTACGGGTCAATTTCATGCCATGCAAGTTAAACCACTCGTAAACAAAGGAACCTTGCAAACAAGCTATAAGACCTGGAATTTACTGAGAGGATTCATATTTTCAAATTTAGATTATTAATATCAGTAAATTAATAATTTAATTTAAATTTCGTGAAGGAAAGTTGATGGAACTACAGGGATTGAAGTATGAAAGTATGAACCTGAAAGTACATCTGGCCATTTGTGATTTATGAGATACATATTAAAGCTGTTCATCAATCCAAATGCAGCAACAGCAATTAGGCTTGGATTATAATTACTGGTGCAGTATGATGTTTCTGACTGCTTTGATTCCAGTGATGAAGCTAAAATTTGTGATATATCTAGCCATAAGGATCTGCAATACTTAAATTATTGTTTTTTTCCCCTGTTCTGCATTATCTGTAAATAAAACAAAATTTTACAGAATATTACAGAGCGGGGAAGTAGTAGTCCAAAATTAAAAGTATTAAACAGAACAAATTAGCAATAGTTTGAGCTCAAGTAGAGAAGTACAAGGTGAAGAAGATTTGATGTGAGCTATGCAAAAATGCAAAGGTTTACTTTCTGTCATTGCTTTCAAAAGTGCCTTCAAATCATCTTCTGGTGAAGTAGTAGACGTCATCTGAAAATTTTCAAAAGTTCTTATTCTCTAAATTTCGAAATTACAAGAAACTTGAGGGATGCTTGTTTTATTGCTTAGTTTTATTTCCTAAGAAATGTGAAAATTCATTTAATTGTAACCACGATATGTATCTGTCTGGAAATATGCGAAAATTAGCTGAAGAGCTAACTATATAGAAAACTGGTAAGGATTCAAGATAACCGACCGAAAAACCGACCTTTATGTTGAAAAAATGAATCATTTTCGAATCAATATGCCTTTTAAAGGGCTCCATCTGTAATTAATGTTTCACATACTACAGTTTGCTATTTTAATGCAACAAATATCTGTATTTTAAAATCTAGGAACTTTTTTGATAAGTGTTCTTACAAGTCTTCATTTTAATGACCACTTCTGCACATTTTGTGCGTAATTTATTATTGCTGAATCAGCGGAAATCAATGAAATAGAAAAATTTTGTCTTCCAAATTCCAAGTTTGGCAAGATAGAATTTCCGTGGCTTACGTTTTGTTTGGAGAAATGAATTCGTACTGTCGCGAATAGATGTTTTTGAAGTAGCGGTAACAAATATGTTGACTTTCATTTTTTTTTTAGTATTTCATGCATCATCCCAAACATTTGTTTGCTTTTGGATTATGTAGTTGTTTTCAGTGTTACTGGCGGAAAACGGACGTCTAAATTTTCTTAAAAAAATTATGGAATTGTTCGATTTGATCATGCGAGCACACCGCGGTGAGTTGATCGTCGAAGTAATTACTGCTGAGGTAAGTAAAACTGTTTGTGGTACTTTCATTTTTCTTGCCAGCATTCATTCTTATTGTTATTTTCTTGGAAAGAGAAAAATAAGCGGTAATATCCTTTTTTGAACATAGAGGGAAAAATTAAACCTAAGATTATGCAGAATAAGGAATTTTTAATATAATCAGGTAGCATGACGATCGTTCAAATCAAGAAAATAGTATTCATGAAGCTGACTAACTTGCATACCATTGATTTAGTTCAGTATTCGTGAGTTTTTTAGGTTTAAAATTCTATTAAATGAAAATGTAGAAGATTCATTTCATTTCCAGCAGCTCACCAAAAAACATGAAACGGCACTGAGAGAAGCGTTGAACAAATTTGCAAAGCCTGGACAGAATTTGCAAATTCAAATGAGTGTGAAGCCGAGTGTTCTTGGTGGTATGATGGTGAGTATCGGTGACAAGTTCATTGACATGAGTATAAGCTCACAGTTCAAGAAATTCGAAGACGTTTTGCGAAGCGCTACTTGAATCCGAACATTTAGAATTGTTTAGTCATTTTTTAGTTGGGCCGTTTTTCTTGTGATCCAGGTTTACGTTTTTTCAATAAAATATATTAGTATTGTTCGCCTTTGCAGCAATATTATTTTTTCTATTGCGGAACATGCATATTGATTAATATTACTGCAACATTGGGTAAGCCTTGAATTTTTTAGTCTTGCTAAGCAACGGAATGAATATTGGTTATCAAAGTATCATAATTATATAAATCCGATAATTTGGATTCTGAAGATTTTGAATGGTTTGGAAATTTCTGATAGTGTCATCGAACTTGATCGATTTTGTTGTTATGCTGCAATTTTTTTTGGCAGAACGCTCAAATATCTTTGAAAACTTATCAGTACACTTTTATGCTGATTTAATTTAATAGAATTTTGCGATTCTTTGGAGATTTTGTAGATTTATTTCAGAGCAATATATTATTGCAGTATTTTTTGATCAATTTCTAGGATGTGATTTTTTTTCAAGTCCTTCAACTTGCTAATGTTGCCCTTTGGCAACTTGAATGGGTAAAATTTTATCATCGAATTGTATTAATCGTCGATGTCAGACAATTCTTCGTGGAATACTGTTGCACTATAAGGTTATTTGTTTAAGTTTAAAATCGATATGCAAAAGCTTTCAGACATAAAATTATGATTCGGAAATTTAAAAGAAGAGGAAAATGTCAACATGTGATGGAAAACGATCAGTATGTTGGAAATTGGAATCAATAAACCGATTAAAATGCATTCATGCATTATAATTTGAAATGCTGAAAATTTACATGCTTTTTCACTTCATTTATCCAAATTTCGAGCGATTCAATGCTATTAAAATGCTTCCGTCGTTCAAAGTTCATCCAATTAGTAAGGTNGTCGTTCAAAGTTCATCCAATTAGTAAGGTGCTACCTGTGAAGATGAAACTCATACAAGAGAAGCATAAGAAAATTGCTTTCCACTATTTATGGTATTACAAATTTGGACATTCCATGAGATGTGTTATAGTATTACTTCGACTAAACACTTAACGAGAAGAAAATAAGTTGTGAAAGATAATGGAAATTGATGATGAACTTGTGCTTTTTTATACTAAAGATTGCTTTTTCTTGGAGGCGATAATTTCAGGTTTTCCGAATAACATTTTAGCTTAAAAATGAAATATCCAATTGTATGTTTCTCATCATTGGCAAACTTGAACTTTTCAATTCTTATTAATCTCAATAGATATTATAAATTTCATCGCTCCATACTTTTTCTTCAACGTACTTTTTTTTTGTTTATTCATATATCTGCAACTATTTGAATTGTAATTAATCAGTTATTCGACATAATGAACAAATGAAATTAGCTTTCATTTGAAATAATTGAGTAACAAATAATATACTTTGTAATTAGGGTTTAAATTATTTGAGAATTAAATATATAATAGGAATGAAAGGAATTTTCACACGTTAACATATCGATACATTGTCGACCTTTTAATTATATAGTAGAAAATTCCCATAATTATAACCTACTCCAATTAATTACTCTAAGTGTTATTTGAGAACACATATGACAATCATAAATCAATTTTTATTCCTATTTGGCTTAGTGAAATGTGATTAAATTGACTTAAGCCTAAGCTTAATAATATCCGTTCACCTGTTATTTTGTAATTTTCATAAAAACTACCGTACTTAATTACTTGCTTAAATTACATCAAACTTATAACTTAATTAATTTGCATTTAACTTATTTGCTTATTTAAATTATCATAATGCTATGGAATGAAAGGAGAGAAAAATAACGCTAAATTTTGAATAGATTTATTGAGTTTTGTATATTTTTAGATATTCCTATCCATTAATAAAATAACCTTTCCAATATATTTTATTTATGTTATTCGAAGGATTAATAATTCATTCGATATTAAATATCAGCGAAAATTTTTCTCTAAATGATTTTGGAGGAAAAAGAATTTGTCATTTTTGGAACAATACTATTTGAAATATTTTATTGATTTGTTTGATTGATTGAATTGCTAAACAAATTAATCGAAAGATTAATTTGCTTTTATTTAGCAAATTTTCCTTTTTTATTAAATAAATTAAATATAATTCGAATTTCATTCGCAATTTTCGACTTATATATATAAAATTTAAATTAAGACAAAAGAAAGAGAAAATAAGAACTTAAATACAATTCAACGATAATTATTGTTACATTTCATTTTTTCACTTTTAATTCTTTTGAGAATTTCTAATATGCAAATTTCTTCTTTTCTCTTCTCCCATTTATTCTTATTTCATTTTCAAAATTTGCAAGAATTTCTCAATTCTCGAAATATATATACAACATATATATTAAAATATTAGATTGATTAAGAGAAGCAAGCGTTAACTTATAAATTAAATATTACACCAATATATATATATATATATGCAAATGGTATGGAAGTATGAAAGGTAACAAGAAAATAATATAATATTAATGTAACATAATATCAATGAAAATAGCAACTGATTGAATTAGTTCTCCTTAAATAAATCAGTGTTTAATGAAAAGCTTAATTTGATTATAACTTTTGAAGTAGAACGTTTTGATCTTCAGAAAGGTAATAAATGATGGAAATTAATTTTACTGGGGATTTCCTTCTTTTTTTTTTGGAATTCAAGAAACATAATAAACCATTTGTCAAACCAATGTTGACAAATTACCATTAACATAGCTCTCTTGAACTTCTTTATCATCACTTGCACACCATACATAAATGCAATGTATAAGGCCTGCAGTGCAGAGCGCAGTTGACGCAATACCAAATGCTGCACCAACACCTCGTGATATTATACCAACTCGTCCTGGTATTAACATCCATTGTAACATGCTACCTCAAAATCAAGCAAATGGTACAATTACTCTTTTTTTCATCATTTTCGACAATATTTATTATTAACGAACATTAGATTTTATGAATCAAAAAAAATCAATCAATCAATCAATATTATTTATGTTCGAACATTAGATATCTTTCTGATTTTCTACAAAAAAGTTGTGACAATATATTTGATTCATCACATTCAACTTGTCACAGTTTCTTTTCAAGTTTTTTTTCCTTGTTTAAATTTTATTAGCAATTGCTTGTTTACCTATGATGAAGAAAAGTACTGCGAAAAACCATGCAGTATAGACAATACAACGTAGAAAACGTCCACCACTTAAAAATGATAATACCCTGAAAAATGGAATTGGCTTGAGAAATTAAAGATAAAAATGTTTTAAGTTTAGGTTTAAGCTAAAATTATTGATGAAAAATAAAACAGGAAAAAAAATGGATTAATTATTTTAATTAAATCGATAAAATTAAAGGAATTTAGTAATAATAATTTTAAATTATTTATTTAGCTTTACCCTAAATTCTTTAATTTACATATCGATTACAATCCAGACTATTGCAATTGTTCCGCGGCAGGAAGGATCAGATAAGGAACAGATAAGATCAATCTCCTAAGCTTCTCAAATTTCATTCTCAATAATGGATTATTTCAGATTGTAAAGTGTGTTTAGTACAACTTTCAAATTACTCTTTCTTGCAGCTACCTTACTAATAATTTATATTTTATTCGAAATTATCAAATTGCAACTATTCGTTAAGGAAATTTATGGTCTCTATTATTAAACTATTGACCGAATAATTGAGGGAAATGAAGTGGAAAATTTCACGATATCCGTCTTCGGTATATTGCTCAATGTTGTTCTATATTATTTAATTAAATTATTGAAGAAATTTGAAACATCATATGAAGGGATCTAAATTTAAAAAATTATCGTGATTTAAATTAAACAATTAGAAAAATAAAATTAAAAATATCAATATTACAAATATTCATTTTCTCATATCTCACAGAAAGAGAAAAATAATTAAAATGAACAAATTATTAAAAAGTAATTGATGTAAGCAAAGTATTAAATAGATAATGAATAAGTAAGTCACCGGGCAAAAAATTATTGAAATAGATTAAAAAGTTAAAAAATAAGAATAGTACTAGAATTTGCTGCAAAATTTCCAGTATCGAAAAATTGGATATTATTACAAATTTAAAATTCTCATTAACTGTCACAACAAAAAAAAAATAGAATTAAGTTGACCTTTTGATTGATGTCGGATTTGTTTTGAGCATTTTTAGAGCGAAAAAAAGTTGCAGGGTGGATAGAAGAAAGGTGGAAATAGACGTTATCACGGCGATCAGTGATAGCGAACTAGCTATTTCGTACATTACATTGCGCACGATCAGTGTACCATCGGTGGCTAAATCGGATGATTCCGTTGTTCTCCATTGAATAGATTGAAAACTCAAGAGTGATGTAAAGGTGAAAAGGATTGATACGATGGACATTAGCGCCAAAAGCAATAATGAAAGTTTAACCTATAGAAAAAATAGAACTTTAATCGGAATTTAAAAAAATTTGGATTAATTTTCGAATGTCATTTAATAAAGTTTCGTGTGAAATTCTAAAAGAATTCACACGGCTTAGATAATTTGTTTCATATTTTAAAGAAATCTTTATTGACAGTCACAACAATCACTTGACAAATTCTAAATGTGTCACATTAATGACCTATATTTAATTATTATCAATCAGATTTTGAAAAATTTGATAAATACATAAAGTTCTTTTCCATTTCCGAAAAAATTTTCTTATACTTTTGCTTACTTTCATGTTTTTTTCGAAAAAACAAGGAAATATGATAAATCTAAAAATTATGTTTTACCTAAGCTTTGTTTATTTTTAAATTTAAATTAATTAGTGTGAATTATAAAATTCAAAATCATAGCAGTGCAATGATTATCATACCCTGGAGATATTTATTCGAACTTGAGTTTGTTGCTTTTGAAAATTCGTATCAGCTTCTAATGGAGGCTTACGTTGCATTGAATATATCCGGCGATTGCAAGGTGATGGAGCAACCTGAAATTGATTGATCTGATAAAATAAGCAAATGGAAAGATATGTAAGAAAGAAAAGAAAAAAATCTTTTTTGATCGTATTAGTTTGATTAAAACAAAAAAATGAATAATAATTATTATTATTAAATTTTTAGCTGTCTCTTCCATCCACTTTACTTTCACACTTAACGAAATTTCTTTTTGATATATTATAGGAATAGAATGAAGAAAGTATAAAATATTGCTCGATGAAAGATGAAGCATTAGAAGGATTAGGTAAAGTTTTATATGAAAATAGATGAAAGGATAAGGTGTCAAATGAAGAGGAAAAAAATGTCACCGATATCTCTACGAATGACAAGTTAACAGAAAAGGTTGGTTGGTTACATGTCCCTCCCATTTCAATCCTAAATCATTTTACTACTCGCTATTGAGACATTTTATTATTCTCAATTCGATAATGTAATATTTCACTTTTACTATTTCCATCCTATAAATCAAATATCAATTATTGTCATGTCTATTAATATTATCAATATTTATTACTAAAACAATTTTATACTTTCTCAATTATTTTATAGTATAAATCATTGAATTAACTTTATTTATACAATCATAAAAGATATTGATTTTATTTTATTTCAAAGTATATTTGTCACTAACTGTTATAGCAATAATTATTATTTAATTCTGATCATTTACTAATGTAAATATCAGAATGAAGCATTGATAATATTAACAAGTTGGAGAAAATGAGAAAATATTTAAATGAATAGTAAAAATAATTATATCTCACACATTAAACAATATATTAACGAATAATACATTTTTTAATTGTCATTTTAGTTTCTGAAATCGAATTTTTATCTTTCAAGTTGATCAAAAGAAAAGATATGAAAATAATATAAAGAAATAAGTAAATAAGGATTAGTGTACTGTAAACGTAAGCTTAATGTAAAAATAAACTTAGGATCAATATGTGAGTATAGTAACACTTACCGAATTACCGTTATTAAGATGATTAAAATCGGAAAGATAGCTGGAACGTGATGGTGGTAATAATGGTGTACGGTAAGGAGCAGATGAAATACTGGGTAAAGCGCACATGTCCTTTATATTATTAGTTTACTTCTAATAAATGCATATACTATAGTATTGTATATACATATAATATGGTTTGAGATCTGAAAATAATTAGCTAAAGAAGAATTAAGAACTTCAAATATTAAATTAATAAATAATCTAAATTTCATGAGAATGATAAATTTCATCGTATCATATGTTATTGTTATGAGATCGATAATATTTCAATCTTTAATGAACAGTGATTTGATTAGTCATTTAAAAAGTTGGCAAAAATTATCAAGTAGTTCAATCAAAATCAATTTAAAAGTGAAATGATAAGAATAATCAATGATTGTAATGCATAACTGCAAATAATTATCGGTCGAAAAGACAAAAGGAAATTATAAAGAGAGGGTAAACAAAAAAGGAAATCAATTCATTTAATATTTTCCAAACTAAAACAATAACTTTAAGTATTTATGTTGTTTAAATAAATTTTTATAATTTAGTAAATTAATTGTTAAATGAGAAATAATCGCAATTATCTTTTAGTATCAATGAACTAATCGCATGAAAATGAAAACATCTGCGGTAATTTTAAAATAATTCAATTAATCTTTAATTTATTCATTAAGTAATATTTGAATCATCTAATCATTGTTAGTTAACTTGCGATGATAATTTTACAATTTATCTGAAATTTATGCCTCTAATAATCAATAAAATATTTCTTCTTTCAGATGGCTTATATCGTTGGTAAATTATTAGTAGTACTGGCATTATTAGATGATTAATTAATTGTAATTGTCACATCATTGAATATACAAAATATCTATTAATCAAAATTTCGTTAAAATAGGATCATCAAAATTCAATTTACAACAATTCAAAAATGAGTGGTTTTATCTTTATTGTCTTTTTACATTTAACTAAACATCACTCTAATGTCATTTATTTTGATGAATTATTAAACCAAATGATAATTTTTAATTAAATCTTCATTAACATGTCAAAACAAAGGAAAATTAGTAAATTTCATCTTCAAAAATTATTGTCGAAACTTTCATTGAAAATTCATTTTGAATGTTTTCTTTTCGAAATTTATCATCGAAATGTTAAAATTTTTGAGTTTAAGAATTGAAAAATTTTAAAAAGATTTTTTCTAATTACTGCAAATTTATTAAAATAAACAATAAATTTTGAAACAATGAAAAATTTTTCTTACATAGAAATTAAAATAAATGATAAAAGAAATATAAGAAAATTTTGTTCTCTTTATTTTCTGAATTTAATTTAGTAATAAAATTAAAATAATAGTAAAGAGAAGAAAGGTAATGAATGTAAACATAACAAAGAGAATTTATCAATAGGAAATTATAATTATAGTAAAGTAATCAAATTTGCAATTTTAATTCTTAACAAATTTTCACCTGCCAAATTATCCCATTATTCAACTGCCCTAATATTCTCTTTTTTAATAATCGTCGTTGTCAAATTAATTTTATTCTTCAAAATTTCAAAGTGAAAGAAAAAGTGTGAAAATATGAAAAATAGCGTGAAAATTAGAAGTGACAGTCGCGAAAGAACGAAAAGAATTACAACATCAAAAATATAAAAAGAAGAAAAATTAGAATTATGTAAAAGGTTGGAAAAAAATTCGATTTAAAATAATATTGTATAGAAGGAAATAATATGAAAATTATTAACCGATAGGAGAATATTTCGAAAGGATAGGACAAATAGAAATGATAGATGTTATTGATATTGTATGAGAGAGAATTTTATTTTCAGTTATCTGATTTGTTATGATTTAAATTTAGTTCAGTTATAGAAGTATAAAGATGGATTGATTTTATTCTATATGAAATTTTCACTATAACTATAATTGAATAATGAATGTGCACTGTAAATTAACATAGTTCAATTGTAGAAGTATTACAAAAACAAAATTTAAAGAACTTTCTTTAGACTTAAATGTGTAAGTGTAGATGATAAAATGAAAATTAGCTATAAAATAGATATTTGCTAATATTTTTGCAAGTCATCAACAATGATAAGGATGAATGAAGTGATAAGAGTGAATGAAGAAGAATAAGATAAAGGATTCCCGCTTATCATATCATACTGATCAGCTGGCATTATTTCTTACATTTTTTGAAATGTGAAAGAAAAAAGTGAAGAGAGAAAATAAGCGTATCACCAAAAAAAAAAAAAATTTCACTTTTCAAAAGCTTATATTAGCAATGGAATTTTAAAAATTTACACGTATATATATACATGTATCCTATATCTACCTTCTATGTGCACAATAACCTATGACCTTTATAAAATGTAAAAGTAAGGAAACGAAGCATAAGTGATTAATTACTAGCTATAAAATTTATAAATAAATAAATAATAACAGATGGTAATTACAATATTATTAAATCTTCCATTCTTGACAGCTTTTTTTCATCTTCAATGAATGAATAAATCGTAAATTGTGTATAATTTAGAATTCATTTTCATTTTACAATAATGAAATGATATTATATTTCAATTAAGATAAGTGAAATAAATAAAATTTGTAATTTATTGTTTCAAATTTGAAATTGTCAGCGATGAAATCGAATGCAATTACTATTAGCCATTTTTTCTTCCCGATAATATTATCCAATAACGAACATATTTTTATAATAAATGGAAAAGTTAAATTAAAACAAATTAACGAACGAAAACTTCAAAGAGTAATGAATAAATTAAGTCTATATGATAGCATATGATATGAAAGTGATAGAATTTCAGCAGTATCTTTCGATTGCTCTAATAATATTTCAATTTTCATTATTCTCTGCTAAATGAAATAGTAAATTTTGAATATTTAAAGTAAATTTTAAGAAATTAAAAACAAATAATAAATTCATTTTCGCATAATTATATGAATAATTTTCATCCTAAAATTATAAGTTAGCATTTTGTAATTGATTATATTTCTTGCCAAAATTTATTTTAATTCATGAAATTGATTCGCTTTTGGTTAAGCTTTTAAATCCATTTGAACTTAAATAAAAGTTAAAATTTATTTGAAATTTAAAAGTAGCAAATTTTAATAATTACTTCTATCCATCCCAAAATTATTTGCATATATAAGAGTATTTGATGTAAAATTAAAATATTCAAAATTTTGTTTTATACTTGAAAATTTTGCAATTTTAATTTGATAATAAATGGGAAGATATAATTGAAAAGGTAAAAGGTAAAGGTAAAGATCTTTATAATGAAGGGAAGATTTATTCCAAGCAGAGGTGAAAAGAGAGAGGGAATAGTCATCCCTCTATCTATCTCTTCCTTGCGCTTCTTGCTGGGTCAACGAAACAACAAAATAATTTATATGGACGAATGTTTCTGCTTCTTCTCTTCTTTCCCTCCTTTTTCCCCCTTCTCTTCTCATTTTCCCTCCCTCTCTTTTACTCTCTTGTTCTATTTAAAAAAAGGAAAAAAAAGGAAAAGAAGATGAATAGGATAAATGGTTAATGGAAAAGAGTAAAAGAAAGCAAAAGAGAGGAGGAAAAAGAAACGATCGAAGTGATCACATGCATGCATATAACCAACCATTACTGCTAATTAATTCATTATGTAATATCAATTAACAATTTCAAATTTTGAATTCATTAGCTAATTAGTTGGAAGGTTTAAATTGAATGCAAAAATGATTTATGCAAAACTATTCACCAATGAATGTCTTCTACTTTTATTGTTACATAATTTAAGTGCTATAATTACCGATACTTAATAATTTCAATATTTGAATCGAACAAAAAATGCAACTTGTTTGCGAAGTTTTTCTTGCATTCGTCAAAAATGCCAATTGGAACATTTTTCACAATGGATTATTATGTCATTATTCCTTTGTTATTCTGATATTTTCTTCCGATATCATTCCACGGTTATTTCACGTTACTTTTCAATGATCTATCGGAACCGAATGTTTACATTTTAGAGAATAACAGCTAATTTACTTATCTTTTTAGCTACTCCAATAAGTAATCTAATGATAAAAGTAATGCGTCAAAGCTTAAAAAGATGAGTAAGTATCCAATTCTCCCCTCAAAGAACATTCTATTCTGTTGAAACTAAGCACTTAAATTTCCTTAGGATAGAAGCTATTTCATAGCGTGTCATCGTTGTTATTGTTGTTATTTGTACTGGTATTTGTGTTGTTATTATCGTGTTATTGTTGTAGTTGTTGCCGTTGTTGATTTATCATTATTATTATTATTATTATTATTATTATTATTATTATTATTATTATTATTATTATTATTATTATTAT